GGGGGTGGGGGGGGGGGGGGGGGGGGGGGGATTGTTTGAGGTTATTTGTTTCAGTACTTTGTCTGTGAGAGACAGGTAAAAATATAAAGTTGTTCCTATGCATCATGGACAGTTGAATAAAGATAAACAAACACATTCTTAGCCTTGAAATGAAATGGAGGTGAGTGTTGTGTGTCGTACTCCAGCTGTTTTACTCCCACCCCACTCAAGACAGTACAGTGCTTCATGACAGTCTTTTGTTTTCAGGATGGTGTTCTTGTTTATGGAGAGGAGGCCTGCAGTGACCTGCCCACCATATTGCAGAACTGGTTTTGTGATCCATTACAACCTCTTGAAGCAACTAATGTACCCAGGTATGCACGATTAATCTCACTCTGTACTGACCCCAAACCTATTTTAAAACAAGGCGTATAAAAGGAAGTCAAATTAACAGGTATAGTCAGCACAGTAGTTTTTGGCTGGTGGAATTTTCAAGGGGAAGGCTAGGAGTGAGTCACTTGTGGGACAGTATAATGCTGACTGCACTGAGGAGCTTATCGGACTGAACACCCAAACAAAAGAAATACACTGACCGTGCCACCTCAGGTACACAGAGTAGGCCCGTCCGCCAGCTCCGCTAGCTTCTCCACCTGCCAAAAACTACTGTGCCGACTATATAAGCATTTGGATACACTGTGTTCAATCAATGCAAAAAAGGTTTAAATGGCATCATATGAAATACGGAATATAATTTTTCCTTTCAGACTAGTGGACAAACTTTGCTGCCTGGTGCTAGAAGCTCTGACCTCTGATCTCACAGGACCTGAGAAGCTAAGTGATAGTGAGACTGATAATGAAAGTGATAATGATATTGCGCTATGGGAAACTGGTTGCGAAGGCCTCGTGCACCCCACTTCCTTACCAGATGGCTATGGGAGTAACGGTTGTCATAGAGTGTCGGGTTCTGGCTTGAAAGATCGAATTCCAGCAGCGCTGGTTGCGGCAGTGGCCCCACTTTTGCCGGGTCCATCCTGTGATTGGACTGCTGAGCCTTTTCCAGTGGACTGCATACTTGCCCGTATTCTGCGAGTTCAGAAGCTGGAACAGACCGGTACAGATCGAGTTTACGAAGCGTACAGGGGTCGAACACGTGTGCGTCACCTCGTGAGAGAGAATGTAGCAACGAGTGATTATGACTATGTTGCTGATATGCTGAGTGCAAGAACTGAAGCTGGTCCTGGACTCTCCCCCCTGCATCGCTATTTGCTCGCTACTACAGCCAAGGACTGCTCCATTATGTTAGCCTTCCAGCGCCTTCCTGACCAAGACTGCAGGTATACGCTGTAGGCCTACTTTCATTACTTTATTTTATGTATTCTTTGGGTGTCTGGTTCTTGTTACTTTGTCTTGAGTGTCTGAGGAACAGTACAGAATATATCAGAAAAGACAGTTGGCACTCTGGCAGAGATTTAAACCTTGGACCATCCACGTGCATAGCAGGAGCACTAATCACTACACAGCAGTGTTCAGGATATGATTTTTATGCCATCACAGGAACTTTGGCTCTTATTTGTTATTTATTAGATTCAGAATCCACATTAACCTTTATTTTATGGGCATAGAGGATGTACGTAAATACCTGTGTTATGAGCTGCATTGCATGAATGATGATGATGATGATGGCCATCTCTTCCGCATCCTACCATTGATGGGTACTGGAAACTTTCTCATAGATACTTCCACCTCAGAAGCACAGGGTTTAGCCATGCCAGTATATTATAAACCGTTATGTATGATGTCTGTTACGGTCTTCTGGGTTGCAACACTGTGTGGACTTGCAGGTGGGTACCAACAATCTGGAGGAACATACTGCCATCATCTTTAGGGCTGAAGTGAGAAATGTTGAGAAGTACACGAGTTATGTTGGTTTTGGAGGGGAACCATGTCTTGGGGATTGGCGAGTCACATCCAAAGGATGAGATGGAGATTGTCCGGGGTAATAGGAATAAATTGTATGCAAGGAACCGAGAAGGAAATCTGGATCAGGAAAAAAAAAACAGTCATATACCTTTCTGGGGCTGGGAGAGGAAATGATGGTTAATGGGAATAGAGGGGGAAAGTGGTGGACAGAAGAGTCCTAAAAGGGGTCAGTTTTAGAATGGCCTGCAGCAGACTTTTAAGTAAGGCTCTCATAAGAGCCACAAGCAGAAAGTGGTTCCATGTTATGCATTCATTTATATGAGTACACTGTGTTATATTAATTCTCTTTAAATTAGAAATCTGTTGTCATAATTATGAGACAGAACGGAGAATAAATGTATTAGCATTATCTGTACCTACATTAGAAATTTGGCCAATGGTATTGATGTAATTGTGGTTAATTACAGGCTCTGGAATCATATTCCTGCTCACCACGTGGTTCAAGATTCTGATGGTTGTGGTTATGTGGTGAATGTTGGAGTTACAGACCTTGATCCCAAGCCTTTATCATGCATTGAGAAACATCGTAAGCGAGACTGTGAAGTTCTGACAGCTTGCCTAGAGTTGCTGAGGCCTCAGGCAGGTAGTGAAAGCAAATTATTTTGCTGAGTAGACTTGTTCACTTGGTCCATATTGCCTTAGAACATAAATTATCTTATGTATGTATGAAATATGAATGAACCGCATATCTTAAACTGAAATTAACAACTGAATTAGCAGTGCAAATCCATGAACATATTCAGTAATGTTAGCTGTGCCTGTAAGAAATGGGCAGTAATATCACTGCTATGTTTTAATTTATGGCTTAAAAATTCCTGAAAGTCGTCATTTTATTTATGAATGATTCATTGAAAGTGATCCATAAAAATGAACATTATGTTATTCCAAGAACAACTAATAGTGAAAATTTTTTTAGTAATTTTTGGTTAATACACAGTGTATTTTTCTTTTCTTATTTTAAATATGTGTTATTTATGTTAATGTGTTGTTCTGTATATATAAACTAAATAGATTGGCCCATCTGGGCAAAATGTCAAAATGTAGAACAGGTGTGAAATCACAGTCACAGGACTTGTTATTTTTGTGGTTTTCACATAAAGTCCTCTCGCTTTTACAGTTTGTTGAGATGCTTCCACTGTGGTGTGGTTAACTGGATTCAATCTGAAAATGGAACCTACTAATTTGTATGAAATATTTGTTTACTCGCCCAATATGGCACAGTGTTATCACCCAAAATTTGTTTTTCCTCCTGAATCCATGACATAAATAATTTGTTTCTGTATAGTACATTCCCACACAGTTATGAATTATGTAATTGATGATGGAGTTGAGGAACAGTGAAAATTGATATATAGTTGCATTTTCCTGGAGGAGCCGTGAAAGAGCAGTGATGCAGTGCAAAGAAATGGATATATAGGCCGTGGTGTGTGATATGCCAGGAAATGTATGTTTTAATTGCATTCCAGTATTGGAATTTTATAACTATTAACTAATTAATTCCATGGAACAGAGTTGTTTGTGAGAAGCTAATAATACATTCAGCTAGTTAAGAAATTTCCTCCCTTTTATGAAAGTCAAAGGTTCATTACTGTGTTCACAAGAGTGACTTTGAAGAGACATTTTTAAGATATAAGTTTTGGCCCAGGCATCAAGTAATATAATTACTTGTATAAAAGATATTGGAAATTAATTCTAATAACTACAAGTATGAATACTGAAACTTATAATTTTATTCTGAATATTTACTCTTATGGAATGTATTTGTATATCCAATTCCACAGTGTTTGAGAAGCGAAGTAAACAAAACCCCCATCCTTCCTCCTGTGTTCCATGTGATGATGACTTGATACAACTTGTTCTAAAAACATTTACCTGGCAATGGAATTTATTTTACTGTTTATACACATACTATATACATTTATCACAACAAATGAAACATGTAAGAAATAAAAAAAAATGGGAAACAATGTGTTAACACCAGAGTCCACAACACATGTTGGTTGAAATGATTTAAAGCAATGTATTTGGAACGGTCAGTACTGTAGACCTGCCTTAGTTAGCAAGAGCTTTAATCATTGAAAAATGCAGCCAACTTCCCTGATACTTCAAAATATGGAAAGACAGTTGTGCTCCCTCAAAAAAATATTACTATTAATAATGATGAAAGTTTTGTTTAGTCCTATACCTAACCAAAAGGACCTATACAAAGTTCCTTTCTATAATATATTAAATATATAATGAAAATACTGTGTATGTGCTCTGTTGGTAGCCCTGTCTCTCTCTACTGACCACCCCTCTGTATTGTTACATTGTTTACTTTGACTCCCAAACTTCATTGAGTCAGGAATAGTGCGCAATGTGAGAGTGTGTTGCACTCCATGTAACTGTTGATTTACTTGGGCCTAAGTAGTAACTAAACTAGTTTCCTTTCAGCTTAACCTTTAGAAGGGTATCCAGGAACAAGCGGGAAGTGCCAGTTTGGAAAGGTTCAGCATAATCATTGATGATAAACAATCATAACAGTACAAGAAAACAGATGAGTGTAATGAAAGTTATGGATGATTGACCAGTGAATCAACAGCCACTTAATATCCAATTTCCTTATTTCATGGTAGGCTTAGAAAATTAGCAGACTACTTCATAAAAAATATGGAGAACAGCATTGCCACTATTGTCTTACTGAAAAGGTTGATATGCACTTATGAAAAATAGTGGGAATATAATGTAAGATTTCAGGTTTTCACAGCGGTGAGTATGAAGATTTCTGTCTTCTGGGTTGTTGCACTGTGTAGTCTGATCGATGTTTACCAGCGTTTCAGAGGACATACTGCCTCCGTCATCAGGGCGATGAATACAACCTCTGAAACGTTGGTTAACATCGACCAGACTACACAGTGCAACAACCCAGAAGACAGAAATCTTCAGTGGGAATATTAGTTTATAGAAGAGCTGAAGCAAAGAGGGTTTATGGAACGTGTCCCAACCTTAGGGTCCTCATTGGTTCCTTCTTAGTTGGATGATGCGATGTCACCAAGGGTGGTTGTGAAACCAGTGTGTAAATTTCCATCATTAAAGGATGTAGTATGTTGTCCAGTATGGAAAATGATTAGTGTATCACAAGTGTGGTTTATGGTTGGCATTGACAGATACATTCAGTATGGCAGCCAAGTTACTTCTACAACAATGTATGTTGCACAGTGGAGCCAGTTTTTGTACATGTACAGTCTTTTTTATAAATATTTTGCATGATCAGGTTATTTTGCATGAGTTGCCTTTACTTGATAATTGTATCAAGTGAAATGTTTTTTAACAGTAAAGAAACTATAATATTTATGGAGTTGGCCTGGTGTGGTATTACATTTTATTTTTTGTAATCACTTAATGTCCAATTAAAGTACTAAGATTAAAGTGTGTATTACAACATGCATTTTTTGTTACACCCTTTTAATTTGTATATCAGCCATATATTTGATACACTGAATAATGTATATTGTTGTGTGTTTTTTTACAATTACTAAAAACATTAATAAATGGGCACTTGTAACAGAGAGCTAAATCATGTGGAAGGAGCATTTGTTTAAAAAAATTATGATGTGGGAATAATTCATACATTCAACAGCTACAGCTGATGCACTGAAAAATGGCATGTCTTTATTTCATATTTCAATACCATGATGTCATATCTGAGACATTAGTGTCGTTTTAAAAAAAACTGTTTGAATCAAACAATGACTTCATATTTCAAATGCATTGTGCACTTGTGTAGAAATAAATTTTTCGGAACTGATTATCGATCTTTAATAAAACTGAGTATATTTGATTCAATTTATATTATATATTTTACACATATTTAAAAACATTAGCAATTCACACTTAGATAATTCTGAGGTGATATTTAAAATGTGTTGTAAACTTTTCCAGATATTCAAGATAAACAATCCTGAAGACATCATTTTGGAAAATTAGTCTGCTGTATAGTTCCTGTTGGACTATAATAATTGCTAAATCAGTTGCTTCATCTGATAAAAGCCTGGCTGAACTTTTGGTTATTATAATCACTGTTGCTGAGGAAAACATACAAAACAATTTTGGTTGAGCTGGATAATTAATTAATTAAGGGCGCATCAGTTACGCTGCTGTTCACAGACAGAAATAGTGAGACAGCTTTACTCATCTGCCCACACTAATACACATGGTTAAATAGGTCACAGAACCTTTTAAATAAGTATTTTAATGTACAGAATTGTAGAATGCAACTTTTTTAAAGTGCAGATGTGTTATTTATGTAAAATTTGAGGTTTTCACAGTGGTGAGTATGAAGATTTCTGTCTTCTGGGTTGTTGCGCTGTGTAGTCTGGTCGATGTTTACCAACATTCATTGCCCTGATGACAAAGGCAGTATGACCTCTGAAACGTTGGTAAATATCGACCAGACTACACAGGGCAACAACCCAGAAGACAGAAATCGTCATGTGTTATTTAATTCAGCATTTGTTATTTGTATTATTATGAATGATATATCGATCAGATAATAAAAATGTTACCAAGTTTAGCAGAATACAGAGTACTCTTACTATTCAGTATTAGGAATAGATGAGATTTACACAGTCTTAACCTTTGTCATACAGTAAAAAGTTATTTAAATGTGAACTGCACATAAGAAACAATGCAAGGATGATAAAGATTAATTATTTTTATAAAATTAGACCTTAATCCAAAGAAAATGTCAATATTTTATACTGAAGAAACAGGATTTTGCTGTTCTCATGTGTGTGCTCATTGATATTTGTTGTGGCAGTCTTTGATTTACACTTCAAGCTTATAGATATTCATGCACATTCCTGGGAAACAGTACAGATAGATGAAGAGTGTACTTGTGTATGGTAAATCAGTTTGAAGGTTAGTGAGGGGTGCTTTAACTACATTCTGTATCTCTGAATAAAACAATGTTGTATCATTCAAACTATTGGCATATACTGTGTAATAATTAAAACCTGCACACTTTGAGATTCATTCTAATTATTGTTTATCTGTCTTGAAAATTGTAGGTTAAAACATTAACCCGTCAAAACTCCATTGTCCTTTTTTGAGGACATATTTCGGTTCTAAATTTAAAAAAATATTTGATGCATGAATATACCAGTACTTCATTATCTGAAATATTGAAAAATTTTGTGATGTTACTTTACATTTGTGAGATTTTTGGTTCTTACAGCAGCAGGCATGAAGGTGACTGTATTCTGGGACATCCCAAAAGACGATCATCTTCTAATTTCCATTCATTTCTATTACCATGATCTTTCCTAAATATAATATAGTAATTAATTTTATGTCAGGGTTTGTGCAGTTATCTGTTTCTTGTACATGTGATGTTGATCATAACTTTCTTATACTGCGTAGAAGAATTTGCCATTACCAGGGTAAAGGGGTATAAGTTTAAAAATTATAACTGAATTGTGATTTAAGATTGCTGTCTTCTGGGTTGTTGCGCCGTGTAGTATGGTAGATGTTCACCAACGTTTCAGAGGTCATACTGCCTCTGTCATCAGGCCGATGAATGAGCCAAGAAAGAATTTTACTGTAGGTGATCTTTCATAAATGGAACAAATGAAGAAACAAACTATGTTTCTTAGTTATTAGACCATTAAATTTTTCATTGAAAAGACCAGACTTGAGTAAAATTACCAAGTCTGATGCACCATAATTACAAGCTCCAGCTATATTATCACTGTTCACAAGATGGTGTTAGAAACAAACTGTTAGTTACCATTTACTTTTATGTAAGTAGTCATTGTTAGATGCTCCTTTATTTTGTAATCGTGTATATCAGATATTGATTAAATTTTTTATTAACCAAGATTGAGGGGAACAGAGGCAGTTTGTGTGTGTGTGTGTGTGTGTGTGTGAATTAACTAGATATCCCTGATGATTATAGGATATATTTTGGAGTGAAAATGCAGTGGCAATTTGCATCCATTGTGTGTAATTTATGAAACTGTTTTAACCATGACATTTTGTTCATTATTTGGGTTGTCAATTAGGTGTGCAGAGAATACCATATTGCAATTCAGTGAAAGGAAGAAATATCTGGAGATGTTCTTAAAAGTACTGTGTAATAAAATAAAATATCATTAAGTTGACTTGTGTGGGGTATAAATTTAACTTAATATGAAACAAATATGACGTTCTAGCTAGCTTGTAATTGTAAAATCGTGATTTTAGAACTTTTTTTTATTTTGCACACATGATTATGCCTACCTGCATAAGTATTCTGTCAATTAATTTGTACAACCAAAAATATCTTTGCACATGAATAAGTTGCAAAAAATTTGTTTTTAGTTGCGTGCGTGATGTTGATTTAAATGTTTTATACTGCTTTCAAAAACATCACTTGTGTTTTTAAATGTGATACAGAGCTTTAATTTTCAAAGGGGACTTTATAGATTTCCTTGTAATATACTTTAAAACAATTGTCCTGAATAATAGTCACATTGTCTGCAGATAATTTGTGTGCTGGTTTGCATTCTTCGTAAATTATGTTTGTGTGGTGTGGTATGTCAGTGTAAGTGGTAAAGAGCAAAAACTGAGGAGCAAAGGATGATGGGAATGAAATAATTAACCATAAATTAATTTTTGATTGACAGCTATTTAAAGTAGCTGGAACTGGTATGAATAATTTTTGTATGTGCCTCACTTATTTTAAAAACAACAATTAAATTACTTTAGCCTTTGCATTGCAATGTTAGTATAAGGAAACTCAACCAGGAATTTAACATATAAGATTTATTTTAAAATGGCCTATTCAATTGAACATATGTGTATGTATTTTACTGTTGCAAATAATATAGAGAGTGTGGCCCACATTTTGAATCCACTGGACAGATTTTGACATATCTCATGAACCTTAACTTTATTCTGTTGATGCAGATGGAGAACTACAATTACAGATTGTTTGAAAACACTTATCTAAAGACTAAACATAGAAAATACATTAAAAATGTAATAACTGTTTAGTAGTGCATAGTATTGTTCCAGAAGACAGAATAAACAGTTAAGAAGATAAACATAAATTTGATAATTTCTGCCTTCATTCTCAGTTACAGTCTTGGGCAGAAGGGGTGATTCATCATGGTCTCCCTATACTGCACAGTAAATAATGGTTTAGAGGACTAAAACTAATGTCAGTTTTAGAATGTGTTCTGTTTAAATCACACTGTATTTTATAAAATCTAGAACTATTTGCAATTTTGTATATCAGAAACCACAATAGAAATTCTAAACTGTACATCTTTGCATGTTAACATCATAAATACTGAAGACTGAATTGTGTGGTGAGGAAAATATTTTCTGTTACTGTATCCAGATTAGTCCTATTAAATGGATTTCCTACAGCATTATTGAAAAATTTCTTTGTGTCTCTTTTTTTTTAATCTTGGTACCTTTCATTGAATACTCAGGTTGAAGACTTTATCCATTTAAATTGAATAAATTAAGCTTTTGTTAGATTCAACACATCAACCAATTGCATATAACTAAAGGTGCAAATGTTTGCCCTAAAAATGCTTTGGTTTAAGAGATATAATAAAAACAGTATGCTTTTTATGGATAAAAACTAATAGTAGGATATGGAGTACTTACAGTGGTGAGTATGAAGATGGCTGTCTTTCAGGTGTGTAGTCTGGTAGAAGTTTACTGACATTTCAGAAGCTCTTGCTGCCTCCATCATCAGGGTGATGAATAAGTCTCTTTTCTAAGCCTGGACAGCTGAGGCCTGAGGCTTGTCACATCTTGGTTCACACTTCACAAACATGGGAGATACATATGTAGAATTGGTGGAATGATGGTTGGCTGTGGAAAATGAAGTGATCTGTGCTGTGATACCATTGGCCACAACATAATTCCAAACTTGTATGACTTTCACAAATATATGCTTGGAAAGGAGGGGGATATCGCAAAACAATTGCCCTTATTGATGCTTGGACAGATTCTTTGCCATCTTACTCCCTCTTGCCCTTTCCATCTTCCCTTACCTCTTTCAGTGAGGTAGCTGAAGCTTTCAGTTGTTTTGCATCCACTGTAGGTAGTTATCAGCACTTTGGAAGAACATATCACCTAGCTCAAATCTCAGATTTTGGTTAAACGTTTTTCCCTTTTCCACCACAACATGTGGACTTTCCTGAGGTTGAATCTGTGTTACTGTGGTAAGAAGCCAGTGACTAGTGACCTGAGCTATGGCATGGCCTGGAAGCAAACTGTTTGTGTAACATTGAGTCATATTACCTGCCTACCACAGTCACTACTATAACATCTTTCCAGAATTTATAATCCCTTTGGAATTTGACTGTATTTATGACTTGGTTTTATGTCATGTCCAAACTTGTAGTTTTATCTGTTGTCAACTTATATACCATTTTCTTTCTCTGTTTGCAGGAAAATATTTTAGTTATCCAATCTGGTATTTGTATTCACCTCTATCTCATTTAATACCATCAGCATGAACAGGAACTTGATTTGGGCCATTTACTTTCAACCATCCCTTGTCTTTATCTTTTCAGTCTAATATTTGAACCTGTCTTATCCAATTTCTTATTTATTCTCATGTTACACAAAAGAAAATCATTAGCTGAGCCATAAGTTTTGTGGAGTAATGACTTAATTATATTTAAGTTTTTGTTTCTGTATAAACCATCTTGAAGTATAATTATAAATTCATTTATTCTAGTTTATTTGGAGGTTATCTAATGGCATAGTAATGAATGAAATTAAAGGAGAAAAGGGGTGAATCATGGTAATCTACTCCTCGCAGTGGAAACTAAAAGTAAATATGTAAGATAGTTATGACAGTAATTTACAGTCAACTATTGTTTTACCGCAAAAATAATTACACAAGAAAGCACAACCACCATTGTTTACATGTGTTTATAATGGATGAGAATTTTTGGTTGACGAAAATTGTAGGGATGAAAAGGAGTGAGATAGAATATGCTCGTTTAGTGCTGGGATTAATGATGTGAATTGGATTGAAAGAAATTGGGAGAGATGAACATGAATATGTTTTTTGTCATAAATTTCAGAATATTTATTGACGGTCTGTGGAATTATAATTACCTCGAAACGGAAGGAGTGATAATAGTCATTACAATTCGACTAAGGTAACGAAGCTGGTCCACTGAGCTCTTGGAGTTGGACTATGAGTTCGAAATATTTTGTATTCTGCGACAACAGGTCACCATCAACATGCGTGAACAAACTTATTCCATACTCGTCTCTTTGGTATATGTCATCTGAGGTATAGTGCTTTACTTATATAGTAGGTACTTGTGGTCTTTTCTGTTGTGTTTCTTGCCTGTGGTACGTTTAATCGTAGGGATATAAATTCAATAGTATTTTTGTGAGGTTTAGTGTTGACTCTGTATTGTAAATTCATGTACATGATTAATGACGACGCAGATGATAAAATGAACAATTTTCGTCATGGTTGGTTTTGTTCGGTCGTGGTGATTTAAAACATGTTTGAATTAAAGTTGTGATAGAAACAAGGTTGTGTATTATACAATGGTTTGGTAAGTTATTGAACTGGTATGGACTTGTAGAATATGTTTTTCCAGACTACTTTTTTATTTAATATTGTGCACAATATTTGGAATGAACTTAATATCAAGTTACAATACAATACCGAAAATAATTTGTAGGAAAGTACAGTGAAACCTCTCTTAGTTGGACACTTGCGGTCCCACGGAAATGTGTCAAACTTACAGATGTGTCCGAGATAGAGGGAAAGGGAAAAATCATCCTGGTGTGATGACAATGTAATCTATTTACTTGCATACACTAACTGTTGTAGGCTTGCTTGAATTAAGAATCAATGACAACAACAACAACAATAATAATAATCTTTTGAAACCCACTCCCATGCATTGCACATTATACCCCAGTCTCAATAAGATTTTCTAAAGTTAATTCCACCAATTTTCACTTCTCCATCGCAAAAGGAAAAATCCCATTTCTGTCATCACAGTTTGAACTGAAATACATGCACAGTGCTGATAGACTTAAAACTGTATCTGCAATACTGTAGTCCAGTGAAGGTTTTAACAAAAGACTTTCACTGAATTCCAGAGATGGGTTCAGTGTCCATAAGCTAATACTCTAGATAGAAGGCATTCTTCAGTCAGAAATTCAAAATAACAAGATATGTAACTGTTTCCCTGAAAAGCATTGAAGCCAAGTGCATGAATCTGTCCTATTTACAACAAAAGGGGTGTCCAAGATATAGGGTATTGTGGGCATGTAAATTATAGGATATTTGACTGTTCCAATTAAAAGTGTCCAATATAAAGGGGTGTTCAACTTGAGGGGGTTTTGTGTAATACATATACTGGGAACAGAAGTAAGCATGCTTGAAATTGGGTTAGATGTAAAGGAGTTCTGCGAACATTAGCATATTTGGGAACGATTTTATACAAGATTATTGTAACTTCATTCCATAACCTGTGACAATTAATATTTACCCAGTCCTTGGATCTACACAGAGGAATGCTGTATCATATTTAAAATAACTGTGGACTGCTTGTAAACATGGACAAGGAAGTGGATGTGACACAAGGAAGGTCTGGTTCCCAATGAACAGAATAATAATGACTGGTACACAACACAAAAAAGTACTTATTTTCTGTATCTGTGGTTTATTTAACAACACAGTACCTGAGACTTCATAGCATCAGATCCTATGGTGATTAATTAACAATGAATTGGAAAGGATATGAAAGCAAGTGGTTGTGACCAAATTGAAGATAGTGTTCTAGCATTTGCCTGATGGAACCAAGGAACACCATGAAAAACCTTAAGGATAGCTGGTCTCCAGGCTGAGATATGAAACAGGAGTGCTGACCACTCAGCTGTGACATTCAGATACCAAATACCAAAAATAAACATAAAAAGCAAGGTTTTTTTAGAATTATTAATAAAATCATCTGCAGTGAGACCTTGATACTTTACTGATCACTAATAAATGGGATGTAACTGAATAGTGGAAAACTGAGGCATTTCTTTGAAAGTATATCTAGAAGGAAGGTTACCCCCCCCCCCCTCCCCTCCTCTTGACCTGGTACTCCAGTGTATATTTCCAATTACTGCTTGTAAAGCAAAACAGAATGGTTATGAGAAGTAACAGGACTGCCATAGTGGCCCACTTACCTGCTATCTAATTGGCATTTATGCGGATGTAATAAAAATATTCTGAATAATATAGTTGCAGGGAAATGTGGTTTTGAGGCAAGTACTAATCTTACCACTTTACACAAAATCACTTCACCAACATTAATATTAAATATAATTAGGGATTTAAAACAAGCAGATTTTCAAGTTGCTTTAAAGATGGCACTGTAGGAGGCTGTGCACGGCACCTTACAGAAATATTCTGAACAGCTGTATAAATGCTGGAAGAAATTTGTATTTTCTTAGAATAGAAAAGAATAGAATTTATTTACATTCCATAGATTCTTCGTAGGCTAAGTCAAGGATGTAGAACATGTCATAGCACAAATACAATACTTGTTTCTAATACAAACGTAAGTTACATAGTTATGACAGTAATTTAGTGCAGGCAAGAACATCTTAATTGTCTACAACTGAGGGCTTCTTAATGTCACTGGATCTGAGATGTTTTTTATGTCATATAACATATTAAGTTAAATATATGGTTATTCCTGTGCTTGGCACAATATCATGAGATATATACATTAGGTATGGAGGAAAAGCACCATTTATTCCTATGTTCATGATTAAATAGAGGTTAATTTTATTATTAAACATTTTTAACATTGCTGATATTTGTTTAATGTGTATGAACTAAAGCAGGTTAAATTTTAATCACCTGAATTTACTAGATTTTTCTGAAATGAGTTTGAATGCAAATGAATTATACTGACATTTATTCACATAAATCAGTATTGACATATATATATATATGATTTGGCAGTTAATTCTTTTACATATGCATAATAGGTTAAATGTTTATTTTTCACGTCTTAATGTCAGATTATTTGAATTAAGTATCTTCTGTTAAGAAACGTAATTTTAGTTTAAAAGAGTATGTATTTATTTGTTTCAAAATACATTTTACAAATGTTTGTTAAAATGGGGCAGGATATCTGCGTAGCTGGTTCAGTAAGTTTATAGTTCTGATAGTTTCTTCTGTAAATGGAACTTGTATTCAGGGAAAGCATATCAGCTTCGTTTTGATCAGCATTACTGATAACATACAAACATTAGCCTTGATTGATAAAAGTTGGTGCAGAAGTTAGAGTTCTGTTAGACTGTAACAAAAAGAAGTTCATTGGATTTCTCATTGTTTATTCTGTGTGATCTTTGCAGTGAATAATATGGACCCTACAGAACTCATACCAGAACGAAGAGCAAAGAGTTGGAAACGTGAGCACGAGGAACGATGCCGCAGGCATCAAAATAATAGTGATCAAAAGAAATTTAATGATCCTGGGTGTGGATCGGATCAGTCTGTACTTTTAGAAATCAAGGACAGTTTATCAGACTTTGTGAAAGATGCTGGTGGAGTAGAGAAGATGGAAATACCTGCAAATGACAAACTTGATGGTTGTGGCATTGTTGATGTTGAAAATGAAGATGCTTTTATCTTGAGGTCTGCCACCGAGGATTCTGAATGTGAAAGCACAAACAAAGCATGTGTAGAAAGTGATTTAATTAATAACTTGGAATATACTGACAGAACACTTTGTGATGGCAGCAGGAACGAAATTTTATTTCCCTTTGTGCAGACTACAGAAGGTTCAGATTTCAAAACTGAAAATAATTTGTTATTTAAGCAGTTTCCTGAAAAGAGGGGAAGAGAAGATTTCATTGAAATAAATGGTTTTAATGTGAATTTTAAAGGAGATTCTACCAAATCAGGACATACTAGTGGTGATTTATCTGTGTGTGAAATTGCAATGGAAGAGGAAAGTAAGTTACCCATCATGTTCCAGCAGTGTGAAACTGAAGCTCAAGGAAACACACATGAAGAGCACTCTAAAATTTCAAGCTGGACTGAAACTGGATCTTCAGAATTACATAAGGCTCAGTGTTGTCTTTTAGAATGTTCAGCAGAACTGTCAGGCATTGCAGTGTTGGAAGGAACTGAGTTGGTTGACCTGAGGGAGACTTTGCCCAGGATGGACAAGGTCACGAATATCTCACTTGAAGTTTCAGAAGGGACTCATTTGAAATCCTCAGGAATTCCAGAAGGGGACGCAGCACTACTTACAGATACCAAACCAGAAGCATTAGGAAGTGCCATACCAAGGTGCCTGGACATTTTGAAAGATGGTTCATTAGACAGAGTGTCAGGACAATCAGGATTTACAGATGTGTTGCAAGGATTTGCAGGAAACTTCAGGACACTTCCTGAATATAATGTGAACACTGAGGAATCTATACAGAAAACAAATGTTTCACTTGACACAGGAGACAGTTCAGGAAATTGTAAGGAGGAAGGTGAAGTTTCAAGTTTTGAAATTGTAGATTTATTAGACAATTCTCGAGACCTAGAATGTATTAATAGTTGTAGCTTTGACTTAGAGGACAGGAATGAGGCACCAAATGAATACCAGAAGGGCAGTTTAGAAAATGATGACCAGAACGGTAGTTCTGATGATTCCATATTCAACAGTTCGGAGACTCCAGGAAATGTTACAAAAAAAATGAGTGGAGAAGGAACTCTTGGTATTGAACAGGAAAAGAATTTATTTGTAGAATTAAGCTCTGACAAAAATTCTACAACACCTGTAGAAGGCATTGACATTACCGAACATTTTATTTGTGTGCTAGACAGTGTTAGATCACCCTTAACTTTTCAGGAGAGAGATCAAAGTGCTTCTGAGTTTTTAGGAGACCCCAACGCTTCTGGAGATGTGAACACATTTTTTGCTGACTTTTCCTTGGGAAATATGGCTGTGGAGTACAAAGAGACAGAGCAAAGCCAAGGCATTAACTTAGGAAATCCAACAGGGGAATTATATGAACAAGACTCTAAGCATTTCATGGATGAATCAACTGAAGAAATGACTGGAGATACATCTGCAGGCAGCAAATACTGTTTTGGAGTAGACACTATTCCAGAACAGATAAAGCCATCAGAAACTGCATCTCTTCATCCGTCTGAAACATCAAGTGAAGATAAGGTAAATATCCACGTATTAATGCTGTTATGACGGCTATTTTTTATGCATAATATGAACACATAATGGGAATTTTATGTCTCAGTATCCATGTTTTATCTAGTCACACAAAAAATTATTACATGAGATGAAATATGGATCTCATTAAGATCTGAAGCTCTGTTAGCAATATTTTATGAGGTAAATATTAACAGAATACAATGAAAAATAATTTCTGATATATTTAGAGTGATTGGCTTTAGAACAGCATCTTTGTTATGTGAAATAAATGAACACAAGGTCGAGGGCTTAGCCAGTGGCCTGGTCATTTAACAGCTTCCTGTTTTTTTCTGAAAATATGACCCAAAAATCATATTTTTACCATATTTCATATTTTAACCTGGTTCAGCCTCTCTCTCTTAACACTTATTGTGCTATCTGTTCTTCTGCACACCACTCATTGCCCAGGTGATGGAGGCAGTAAGTGTTTCTGACACTCTAAGTAAAATCAAATGGGTCAGCTTCTACAAGACTACACAGTGCAATGTCCCAGAAGGCTGTCATCTTGGAAATATGTAATGAAAGTTATTTAGAGTAAACTTCATATCTTGTAGGGTGTTGAATTATGATGTGTGCCTGAGGATGGGTAGAATGTTGGTTACTAATTTGCCAATATATAGTGATTCCTGCTTTCACACATACACACACACTCTTTTTTCTCTGTCTCTTCTCCCCCACGCCCTCTCTCTTATATTTTTTTAAGTACTCAGCAAACTTTTTTACTGCTTGCACATGCATGTACAGCGTAGACAGATAAATGTATTATTTCAGAAAATTCTGGATCTGTATGTGTCTGAAGTAGAACAGAGACTCAGTCAGAAGCAAGTTCTTCGTGAGGAGAATCAGGATGTGGTCAGTCTGCGCCCAGATGAATATCACTTCTCCAAACTGGATTCAAGCCTTAAAAAGAATACAGCATTTGTGAGGAAATTAGTAAGTACTATGACTTTTGACAGTACAGTAATATTAAATATTGTTTATTTAGTGCTGTACATGTATATGTTATTTATGAAGTGATCCTACTATTAATTTCCACATTAACTGCTGTATTGTTTGACAGAAAACATTTACATGTAGTCAGCTTGACTCCTTGCTGAAGGATATGTCAACACTCAACTTGACAAAGTATATAAGCGAAGCTGCATCAGCCATAGTAGAGGCCAAACTCAAGATGACTGATGTTATGGCTGCTGTGGAACTATGCAATTCTCTGCATCACATGTATGCAGAATTTTCTTCACATCTGTTGGAGAACTGGCATAGGTTTTTATCAATCAAGAAAGATGATCGTGTAAGTATATTGTTAATGTTGGTGCAGCGTATTTATTTTCATAATATTTTAAATGTGTATTTGTTGACTGGATTGAGACGTTTCAAATTTTGTTCATTTGAAATAAGTTGCTAAGTTTGATTAGTTTTTAACTGAAAATGTTGCAATAGCAAAAAATTACCTCATATGTTCACAGTACTGATATTTGTAATTTTGAATGCATGGACACAAACTGTTTCAGTTATATCCTCTCATCCCAAATAATACGTAACATTGGTGCTTGAGTTAATGGAATATTATAAAGATGTAAATAACTAGCAGAATAACCATGTTATTAATTTTGGGCAAGTTATTTGATAGATATGCATATTTTTCAGAGTTCTGTCATCATACAAAATTTTGGAATTCTTCACCAAAAGGTGGGATTGTTTCTGCCATCTCAAAAAGTTTGCAAGATTGTAATTTGAAGATTATTTGTTTGAGCTCTTGTGCTACAGTCTTCTGTCAATTTTATTATAAATTATAAATATTTTAGTGACACACAAACACACAACATATTTGACCTTAAAATACTTTTTCTGTCAGAAACCAACCTAAAAATGTATATGTTCTAAAATATTTATCTGCCATGAATGTTCACCTAAAAATTTACAATTAAAAGCTTGGTGTATGACACATGGTGACATGTTGTAAGTATACCTAGTGGTATTAAAACCTGGAAGGTCAGATGCTATTTATAATAATTAATAATTATGTGTGGATGTTGATTATTGGTCTATAAGTATTCAAACATTTCAGTATGCCAAGTGGCCATATTTCATAATTTATCTTTCTGACAAAGATTATAACCAATAATAAGGGCTTCAAAACTAACTAAATTAAAGTAACTGATTGCAATGAAATGAAATTAAAAATAATATAAATTTAGGCAGCTGTAGTTGGGTGCCTATTGGTCCACAAATGTTATTTTTATACCCTCTATATTGAAGTAGAAAAACAACATCTGTCAGATGAAGTGCCTTCTGTGACTCATCAGTGATTTTGGACGTTGCTCTTCTAGATGATGATATCTACGTTCATGGCTGCTGAACGTTAGTGAATAAATGTTAAAATAGTGAGATTTTAAGTTCTCATGGCAACAAGTATGAAGATTGCTGTCTTCTGGGCTGTTGTGCCGTGTATTCTGGTAGAATTTTACCGACATTTCAGAGCAGTGAGCCCTGATGATGAATACAACTATCACCTTTTAAACTTTGGCACTGGACTACATGGTGCAACAACCCATAAGACAGCCATCTTCAATGTTAAAATGATACACATGTTGAATAACAGCTATAATGTGTCTATATAGAAATTTTATGTTGATTTCTGGGCTTTATTTTTGAATGAGTAGCATTTCAGAAGTGTGGGATGTCATTGCTGATTATAAGGTTTATAGAGATGTAGTTTTAACATAACCAATTGTGTTTCAGATGATAAATCAGAGTAAATTGAGAGTGGACTTACGATTTTATGCTGAAATGATAAATGTAGGGATATTCACACACAAGGAAGGATTGCCTCTTCTAGGAAATGTACTGACAGTGTTAGTTAACATGGACAGGGAAGAACACAACAATGTCAGTATCATTCTGAGTTTCTGTAGACATTGTGGTGAAGATTATGCAGGTACTATCTACAGCACATTAACTTGTATTAAGGCTAACATTTTCACACTGTGTAGTCTGACAGCTTATCGTCTTCACATTTGGTCCACTTTGCAGCAGTACATCCTCAAAATATTTACACTAAAATAAAATACAATCTGTTTTACAAATTTTGTTTATGTTCTCAGAGTTCATTTTGAATTTTATATTTTAATAATTGAGAAAGATATTGTGAAATCCTTACCTTTGTTGAGAAAGTAGCTTTCCTGATTGCTAAGATTCTCAGAAGAATGGAGTTACATTTGTGCCTTTCAGGTCTTCTTTTCCTTTGTTCCTGTTCAACTCTGTAATTATGCTAATTGTGTTTTGTTTGTCATGTAGCTTAGCATGTCACCTTTCTACAGACCAGTTAACTTTTATAGATACATTTCAGTTCAAATCTAGTGTGGCACATAAATCAGTTTCTTGTGCTCCCATTGGCTGCTTTGAGAACCACAGAACTAGGAACCTGTTTGCCCACCATGAATGAGTTGACTAAGGTCATGGTATGTTCTTAACCAGTCTGATTATCCTTATGGGGAGTTTTATTCCTAGGCCAGTGATTATGAAAGTATATTGCAGAACTTTGGTGTTACACGACATGTTTTCTTGTATTCTTTAGACATATGTAGGGTGGATGTTCAGTTGTTTTATATTTCTGTGTTATGCATTCCTTTCTCAACCATCATTATACACCCTTACTTGAAAAGGTATTTATTTCATACTAAAACAGGTGTTCTTGCTTCATTCCTTTCTTTCTTTTTCCTTCATCCTATGCCTTCCATTCATTCATATCTAAACGTGGTTTTATTTTATAGCTGTATTTTTACAATCAAATGTGCAAGTGGCTTTTAGTCAGTTAATGCATAGCATATATTGTGGTAGCACCATGTTTCCATATCAAGCGCTTAAAATAAGACAGTGCAAAGGACCTTATAGGTTGGGCAGTAGTGCATAACAAAAGATTTCTAGGCATTGAACATTTATTCTGTGTGTCTGTGTTATGGTAGATTTTATTATGATCACTATAAAATGCTGGGTTATTTAGAAATAAGTAGTGAAGTTCCAGTAGTATACATGAAAACAGTAACTTTTTTGCTTAATCGATGCTTTTTGTTAGCTCCAGTGATTATTCTGATAACATGCAAGCAATGTAGAAACTTATCCCAGTGTTTCTGTAATTTTTATTGTTTGGTTTATACAGTGGCTCTACAAGTTGGGTGTTTCAAGTCATCAAACCTAAGTTTGTGAGGACAGAACATTGATATGTCCTGTTGTGTAAGAAAAAGTTCATAGTTCGTAGTTTGGTCCAGAGATCTGTGGGATCATTTTGTAGGGCTTCCATTCTCTATCCGTCTTCCTGGGACTTCGTATCTCTTTAGTTGTTCGTTGTGTGGTGTTTTATTTAAAGTTGCTTGCCAACTTATAAAACTATTTGTAAAGTTAACGTTTCACATCACACCAGAGTAATCATAAGTTCTGTAGAACAGGTGGTTTTGTGTGTTGTAAATGTTTGCCACAGCTGATCAGCACATGATGGATAAGGTATAAGACATTTGATTCTTGTTCAGAATGCATGTATGTACCCAGTTAAAACCAGTAATTAATACAAATGCTTATATTGAATGACTTTTCTTTTAGGTTTGGTTCCAAGAAAAATACGATTGCTGGCAGAAGAATATCAAATTTTGCTCCCAAGAAGCAAGCTGCTTACAAAGGAAAAGCAGCGAAATGTAAAAACTTTACTAAAAGACTATTACGGTTCATTAGTAAAACATGTTATGAAGGTAAGACACAACATATTGGTTATAAAAATCAGTATGTCTTCCCCTTTTGTATTCACGTTGCTGATATTTGTGTGTCAGAATTATGTTTCTCATGGATTATGGTAAACAATTTGTGCATTGGAAACCCAAATTTCCTGTTCCTTTGTTTCATGCTGTGAAATATAATTAACACCTTGAAGTTGAAGCTCATCTAAATAATTAAAAATTAATTTCTCACCTCAAAGAAAACAGGTCATACCCATTATAAAGATTAAGCAGTTGATGCTGTTAATGGAAATAGTTGCTGGTTATTCTGAACATAAAGAGAACCCATAAATACACTGTGGGCAAAATATACAGTCACTAATAATTAAAGCAGGTGATACATGTCAGAAGTTGTTGGAATTTACTCCAAATTATCTCTTTGATGTGCCATACATAGGAAAGGTATCCATAACATGAAGATGGCTGTCTTCTGGGTTGTTGAATCATGTAGTCTGGTAGAAGTTCACTGATGTTTCAGAGGTCCTTGCTGCCTTAACATCATGAAACCTCCACTGTGAGATTTCTCATGGTAGCAAGTATAAAGATAAAGGTGTACTGAGTTGTTGTGCTGTGTAGTCTGGTGTAGGTTTATAAACATTTTGGAGGTGCTTGCTGCTTCCATCATGGAGGCAGCAACCCAGAAGACAGGCATCTTAGACTCACTGCCGTGAAAACCTCAAATCCTGCTATCCATAACATGTTTGACATTTCATACTCAGACACAGATATGTGCATTGTGATTGTGAAGTTGCTAATTTTTTATTGATAAAACAGTGAATATTACCTTCCTGATGGGGTTTGAAGATAAATGTGAGTTTTAATTTTATTCAGGAACATAGAGATCTTCAGGCATTTGAAAGGCAAAACAAGAAGATATTACAAACAAGAGGGGAACTGAATGGAGAGCGGAAAGAAAAGTGGGAAAACCTGAAATATTCATATGAACGACTATTTACGGGAATGACTACATTTGCTGAAATACTTGATGAAGATTTGCCTGTACTTCCTGAGGATGGTATGCTTCCACGTACGTTGCAGTTGGGGGTATCTTGCCTGGTGTCATGCTCTGGTGTTTTGTACTGCATGTACTATTGCATGAACTCTGCAGTGGTAATGGTTTTTAATTTCACAGTATATGCAATAAAAATATTGCCTCTTACGAAGTATTCATGATGTAATGATGATTACTGTCAGTGAATGTGAAATTTTTGTGGTGTGAGTTATCTTTTTCCTTGAATAGTAGTAATATGGAATGGTTTGAGCTTAGGTTGTCTTCAAAACAAACAGAAACAAGTTATTAGAATATCACATTATGCCCGATTGCCTTGTCTTTAGTTCATATATTATACAAAACAATAGATTTCATCTGAGTATAGCAGCTAACAGCTGGCATGAGAGACTGGAAATTGCTGTAACACATTGAACTCTTTAGCCTTTTTAATACCAAGTCAGTACATGAAAGTACCCCTAAGATACTCCTTTACTGTACTTATGAAGTTTGCATTATGTCTCTGCATAAAGTATAAGTGTGATAAAATATGCATCTGTTTATCACATAAACCTTTATTTTTATTCAGAATATTTGAAGGATGAAGATTTGAGAATGATTGGTGCCAGTGATGGTGAAGAGACTGGTTTCACATCAACAATCTGGGAGGATGAAGAAGAACAGCGTTTCTATGAATATTTGACAGACATGAAGGAATTCCTACCTAGTATCACTGTTCGACCACTTGAACCAGTTTCAGAGGTGATTAGGGTTTCAAATCTCTGACTATAGGTGTTTAATTTACCTTTTGGTCGTCTGTTCTCTTTATACTGTGCAAAAATAAAATGCTCTTAATTTTTAAGAGGGACAGGAATAGAAAGGTTGTGTGTAATGCATTACAGTCTTTTTCAAATGTTTCTACTGCAATTCTGCATGCATGTTTTTTTAGTATAGCTGTAAATCTGTTGTTACATGGCAGATAATATTTATTTGTATTTAAGTAAATATTCACCATGTCAAAATATGTTTAAAATAAACATTATATTTAATTTGTGGTAGATTTGGGAAGAGAATAAATCCTGAACATCCTTGGTGTTATTAATTTCAGAATCTTTTTATCTTATAATCACATTAAAAACTAGTGTGGTTTAGACACTTGTGTAACATACATGTTAAGTTGTTACACAGTCTCTGATGTCTTTGACATTTTTTCAGATTTTTAATTTGAACTTCTGTTTATTTTAGATTTCAGAAGATGTTTTGGATGCAGAAGCAGAGGAATTGGAGGAGGAACCTATTGCTGAGGGAAAGGAAGATGATGAGGAGCCAAGTCCTCCAGAACCTGATGGTTAGTTTTGGTTGATATAGAAAATGCCAAAGAATGGATAGTCATTTAAAGAAGATTATGCATTTAATAAGATTACTTACCAAACAAAATTTGTTCCTGTGTCATCAGATCTGTTTATTGACATTTGTTTTCTGGGCTATAGTGCCTTGTGGACTTGAATCTTAGATACTACTTCTCTATCTGTTTACTAGTCCACTCTATGGCTCTATTTGGGTTAGTTGCATGTAGGAAGAAAGACATTGTTTGTTCATTGCATTATTCAATTTACACATTGCCATTTTACACCTTAGTAAATGTTATGTTTGTGTAGTTAAAACTCATGGTTTTTGTTGGTAACAGGTTTATTATGGTTTTTCTTAGTTCCTCAATGAAAATGGCAGAACAGTACCTTAAAATAGGTCATGAGTGAATCCTTTCTAATAATTCCTGATTGTAAATCAACTTACTTTTCAACACTGAGTAACTTATGCAATTGAGAAAGCATTGTTAGCTAATCTAAGGCAAAAAACTGATCTAATTTATATATTAATACTAAGTGTGTTTGATTGTACTGCGTGGCACAAAAATAAATATTTCTGTAAAAAAAAGCCTCCATTAAGTAAGCCATTGACCAATTAAAATGTAGGTTTGAACCTTTATCCAACAAAATGGGCTGCTGTTGAACATCACTTTTATAAAATGTATGAATTATGAATGACAGCTATTTTTAACATTCAAAATGGAAAATATTTTTCTGTGTAATGAATCAACCAAACTGAATACATCTTGTTCACATACTTAGGCATGTACTACTTGTATGATACAAATTTAATTCAAATCCATAGAACCATTCATGTTTTTCTATTTAAAAACTTTTTTTGCGTTACCCAGTATATCTACAGTATTAGGATACATTTAAAAGTGTAATGTTTTAAAATATGCATTAATTATGCTGTGTAGTTGACTAGTTGTTTTAAAATTATTATGGATGTAGATTTCCGAATTATGATTTTCAGATATAGAAGAACTTGAATCTGTGACAAATTCCAGTAACAAAATATTAATGGAGTCATTTTTGACTCATCTACCACACTGTGTTAATCGTGAAATGATTGACAGTTCGGCAGTGGAGTTTGTTATGAACCTTAACACCAAATATAACAGAAAGAAACTTGTCAAGTAAGTGGAGGAATGAATTGCTGTTAACTTTTTTAATTATGTTGGTTAACATGCATAATATTGTATGATTTGACTGATTTTAAAGTCATATACCTTGTTTCTGAGATGCCTAATTTTTATAATTGACCTTGAATTCTTAACAGAATGTTGTTTAGTGTACCACGCACTCGTCTGGATCTTCTGCCATTTTATGCAAGATTTGTTGCCACATTGCATCCTGTAGTACCTGATGTTGCCATGGAACTTGGTCAATTTCTCAAACAAGACTTCAAATTCCATGTCCGGAAGAAGGTTTGTTTTATTGCTGTATGGAATTTAATTTTGCTTTTGTTTAATCAGATAGGTGTTTTTCTTAATAATGTGAATGGTATTTGTAATTTTCTTAGTTATATAGTTTGAAGAAAACAACCAAGTAAGCATACCTTTTTTGTTGAAATTGTGTTCAACACATTTGTCTAGTTGTGATCAGAAAAAGTATTAAGTTACAATATTACAGATATAAATTGATTGAAATGATGGTAAGAGACCCATAGAGATAAGTAATAAAGTAATCTGGAAAATGAAGTGAAGGGGCAACATATCATAAGTATTAATTAAGCTACCAGTTGCTAACACTAGTGGTTAAAAGACTTCCCAGTTTGAAATTGGAAGAAGGAGAGCTAAGGTTTACATGTGTTGAATACACATGTAGGATTTGCGGTTTTCACGGTGGTGAGTCTGAGGACTGCTGTCTTCTGTGTTAAATACTGTTGACTCACATAGCTACTTCATATAATATTTAATAGCATGGTTTGTAATTTTCCATCACTGGCGTCTGCCAGCCTAACTAACCTGTTTTATAAACAGAAAATACATTAGGAAGCTAATAGTAAATAATGGTAAATAAGTTTAATGATTTTTGCTGTATATAAAAGTGAAATATGCAATAATTTAAAATGTATAAAGTAAAATATCTATGTGTTAGAAGTTTTTGGACTACCTTATATAGAGGTTATTTTATTGTGTTTTTGTGATATCCTACTGCAATTTTATTTGCTATATGAAGTTTCAGAAAATAGAGGTTTTTGAAGATTACTGTCTTCTGGGTTGTTGTCTCCGTGATGAAGGCAGCAAGCACCCCCAAAATGTGTGTAAACTTACACCAGACTACACAGCACAACAACCCAGAATATAATCTTTGTACTTCCTTCTGTGAGAAATCTTACAGTGAAGGTTTTATCATTTGATGCAAAAATATATGAATAAATTGTGTAATTGTATGAGGCTTATTTATTAATATTCATTTACGTAGGTCAGAACTCGGACATTAAGCCCATTAACATGGTAACCTGCAGTTGCACCCTTTCTGGACACTTTACTATTAGTACTTTGGTAATAAAAGTAGTTTCATCATTAAAAATAAAATACACAGTTTAATTATTATCCATGCACTGTATGTAACTAACAGAAGTCCTTTCTCTTTATCCCCTGAAATATCAGGATCAAATTAATATTGAATCCAAGATAAAGGTTGTGAGATTTATTGGAGAATTGGTGAAGTTCAGAATGTACTCCAAGATAGAGGCATTGTACTGCTTGAAACTGTTGCTTCATGACTTTACACATCATCACATTGAGATGTGTTGCAGTCTTCTGGAATCCTGTGGCCGGTTCTTGTTCAGAAATCCGGACTCACATCAGCGGACCAAAGTGTATTTGGTAAGTGTGTATGTGTGGACTTGTTATGTAGATGGTTTAGATTTGAACTGTAATTTTGATTAGTGTGTCAAGAAATGATCTTACCTGTTTCGTATTAGGTGTTCATCTTTACAAACTCTCCCCTGCACACACTTGACCCATCCTATGATAAGACTGCAAAAATGACACCTGGGTCAGATTTAGACTGCTCTAATGCAGACAATATAATTCAGATCTGTTAATAAATAAATAAGGCAGTTGTGGTAGTATTGTGATTTAGGCATGCATATTGTCCTAACAGGTATGTACATTAGAACCCTAGGATGAACTACTAAGGACCCCTTTTTGTCCTTGATTATCTGCATAGTTTTGCAATGGTAGACATTTCTGTGGATTGGTCCTTCATCACTGCCAATGTCAGAATTGGTAGGATGTCCATCATGTGTCCCACTTCCACCACCCTGGGATTGAACTTGGATTGATTTAATGACAAGCAGGTGTCTGCCTCAGGTACAGTTGGTCAAAGTGTCATGATCACACAGCCACAGTAAAGGAACAGTGTGTAAAACAAGTTTTAATAACTTGGCATCTTAAATAAGTATGCACAATAAATCCTGTTTATAGTTAAATCACAAAGGTTTGAACATTTGCATAATTTCAGTCAGGAATTTTAATACATCTACATAAAATAAATTTAACAATACATACCTACCCTATGTGCTTACAATCTATATTACAGGCTATAATTTGTTCTACACGTATATTCTATATTCTTCCTTAGCAGTATACTTTTTCATTTTATCTTTCAGATTGTTCCCTTTTAAAGTATTTTGTACATATTTTGTTCATGATTAGGTTCCATTTGTGGCTGGATAGGTTCCTTGAAACTGTTCAGAACAAAATTTGGTATACAAATTATTTTTGGTTAATGCTTTTTTTTGTTTCCAGGTAAAATCATTTTCATTTATAAGACAATTTTACTTTGGATTTTGCTGTGTATTATAGGCAGATTTCCCTTTAATCCTTATCATGGTTTATGAGATTTTACTGTGTTAAAAGCTACATTGGTGATATGGGTAATGTAATATTAATGTACATTTATTAGACAAGTTAATCAGACATAACATAAAGAATTCCCATGATTGTACCCTACTTTATTTTCTTTATCAGGAACAAATGATGAGAAAGAAAAGTGTTACAGCATTGGATTCACGGTATGTGACCATGATTGAAAATGCATTTTATTATGTGGACCCACCAGACACTGCACCATTTGTGAAGAAGGAACGCCCTCCAATGCATGAATTCATTCGTAAAATATTGTACCAAGACTTGGTGAAGGCGAATACAGATAAAGTGCTGAGGCTGATGCGGAAATTGGAATGGGAGAATTCAGATCTGGCAGAATATTCAGTGAAGTGCCTCACTATGGCTCATAATGTCAAGTATTACAATATACGTTGCTTGGCCAGTCTTTTGGCGGGTCTAGTAACACATCAGGTGAGTTTATTAAATGAGTATATTTTTTGCAAAGCAGGTATGATATTTAAATGAGAATCAGCCCCTTAGTTTTTGCAGCAAATGAAATCTTATTTCTTTGGCTCATACTAGGGTCAATCTTGTGGTGGTCTCTTGTGAATGTGGTATTGAATTTTCATTTGGATCATTTTCTTAAGAAGATCTCTTTTATTTGTGGTTGGTCAGTAATATTTTAAAGCTTGGTACTTGCTGCAATTTCTAATCCTTTTGTTTTCATGTAATATGAATGATTTCATCATTAATATCATTGTTGTCATAAATGAAACTTAACAGTACCTTAGATGTAAAGTGTAGCATTTCAGTTTATCCTTAGTTGTGAGATGATGTCTGTTTTATTGGGTAAAACAAATATTAAAAATTACTATTACTGGCAAAGAAAAATGCTTTTGTGGTAATTTTAATTTTTAGACTCGTGTAATTTAACAGCGTTAATATCTTCATTCCTTTCATATGCTGAAGAAAATAACACAAGGTTTTCCTGAGTAGTTAGTAGTTGTTCAACTGATCTGTTGTGGAACCAAAAGGTTCATCACCATCATCAGTAAGAGTCTGCCATTGGTCTCTATCGCAGGCCATTTGAATCCAGTCCACACGCTTTTAAACTTTCTGTATAATCTGATGGTATTATTTTCCTATATATGCCTAGATTTTTTTTTTGCATTTAATTCTTCAAATTTGCTCTTGTTCTGAATAAAATACTTTTTGTGCTTCTACTGAAACCAATTTATGTTGTTGGTACATTACAGGAGATGGTAGGAACACATGTAGTTGATGGAGTGATGGAGGATATCAGGTTAGGTATGGAAGTGAACCTACCTAAATACAGCCAGCGCCGTGTGGCAATGATCAAGTATCTCGGTGAACTCTACAATTATCGTATGGTGGAGAGTAGTGATATCTTCAAGGTAACAATTTAGTGACGTTTGTGTCACTTTAAGGTTTTTATTATCAATATCACAAATTTTATTTAAATGTGTTCATTGCAGGATCAGAATTAATTAGTAGTAAAGTTTCTTATTTCAACATATTGTTTCTCCTGTCATACACGTACACATTTTATAATATTAAGAGTGTAGGAAGTTTTGTTGTGTGATAGATGTTTTTTTACTCCATTATACTATCATGTTGCTTATTAGGTCTGTCATCTCCAATCAGGTTTAGTAATTCTAGTAATAAGAATGACTGGGGTTTGTAGTTCATTCTGTACTGAAATTTATGTTTTATGCACTATTATATGCAGTAAACAGTGGCTTGAGTTACATTAGTGTGCATCTGGCATCAGCTAGCACAGTGTATCATATTAGTTTATTTTGGAAGATACATTTATGTACATTATACATTCTATGAGATTGACTGAAATATCTGTATACATTATACATACTGTAATATCTGTTTTATTATATATATATTACTGAACATCAAATGTTTTATGTTCCAGGTTCTTTATTCATTGATTTCATTTGGTGTTTCTCTAAATCCTTCAAGTCCATCATTCTTGGATCCTCCTGAACATCTGTTTCGCATCCGACTAGTGTGCATCCTTCTAGAGACATGTGGCCAGTACTTTAATAATGGAATAAGCAAATTGAAGTTGGATTATTATTTCACCTACTTCCAGGTAATACAGACTGGAATGTCCTGGGCAAGGTAGTGCACTACACAGTGCTAGTATGTGGCTATCGAAGAATTAAGACAAGTGATACATGTTAAGTACTGTAGTCCGGGTGAATCTGAACATTCCATGTTCATTCAAAGTAAAAGGAAAGGGGATCAGAATTGTTAGAGGGGTAGTACATAAGGAAACATACACTGGCTGTAGTTTTTAAATTGTTTTCCAGTGGCAGTACTTTGTAGCTTGCTGTCTTATTTCTTATGTTGATAATGTCTTTGGTGTTCATAGTTTACCCCCACTCTTCTATTATGGTAATGACATAAGAAAGATGTATGGTTTCGTCCTGGATACAGTTACTTTAAGGATGACAAGGGTGAGGTATAGTAAATATGGTAGATGTGAGAAATGCATGCAAAATTTTGGTTAGAGAAACCAGAAGGGAATAGACCACTTAGGTACTGATGGAGGGTAATATGAAAAACGTATCTTAAGAAAACAGGGTGTGAGGTTGTGAATGAGATTTATGTGTCTCATGATATGGTCCATTGATGAGCTCTTGTGAACATATAACGAACCTTCAGGTAACACAAAAAGTAGGAGTTTCTTGACTAGCTGAGAGATTATTAACTTCTCAAGAAGTACTCTGCTTCTTAGAATTAATTCTTAAGTTATTGTTATTCTGTATGAGTCATTTTAGAAGATGGTCTGAATTGTTAAAAATATATCTGAATTGTGTTGTTTTGTGTGGTTGTTATTTTCACAGAGGTATTTCTGGTTGAAATATGAAGATAAATATTGGACTCCAGAAAATCCATTTCCTGTTGGAGTCCATTACTTATTCAAAGATACTCTGACAAGCTTGCGACCAAAACTACATCTGCTTTCAAGTTTTGAGGAAGCAAATCAAGCTGTTCATCAGATGCAGATGGAATTTGCACCCATGCTATCAGACCACATGCCGTGGCTGTTTGGTGGGAGTGGTAGTGATGCAGCAGACAACGTAGTCCCTACCCTGGGGTCTGATCTTGGAACCATTGTGGAGGCAGCAAGTGAAGGAGATGATGATGCATGTACTGAGTCAGAAGTTGCAGATGTCACAGATGCAGAAACAGAGACAGAAGGATCATCACATGATGGTCGGCCAGTGAAGAAATCTATAAAAAGTATGGAAAGATTATTTAATAATTTGAATTTATAAGTATTTTATTCTGCAGTTTTAATGTCACTTTCTGCTTGTTTTGTTATTATATATTAATATCAGTAGATCTTTCTGTTATGAATATTTATCACAGTTAATCCAAACTTTCTGATGTATAGAAATACACCCAATATCAAAAAACTTTTCTTTATTGTGTATACCTCAAACTAGGCATCTTATCTGATATATGTGCTTTTTTCATGTATATAATTTCCTTGTTAGATGTATTACATATGGCCTCTGTTACATTTGTTTGAAAAGCATGATGATACAGTGCGTAACTTTAAGATTTAAAGTAGTGGCCCACTTATAGTAACATTTAATACATGTTACTAAGAAGAATATATGAAAACCACCGTTTTTGATTTTGAATTGTTAGCACCATGTTAATTTTGTTCCATCCCATTATATGCTTCTCGAAACTCTCCAATTTTATTTTTCTGTGTTAATAAAAATTGTTAAGAATTAAACAGTAATGCAAATAAATATAATTTTTTCTAGCGTCTCTCTTAACAAGCCTTTATAATGTAAGATTTGAGGTTTTCACAGCGTTGAGAATGAAGATTTCTGTTTTCTGGGTTGTTGCGCTGTGTAGCGTGGTCGATGTTAACCAACGTTTCAGAGGTCATACTGCCTCCGTCATCAGGGCGATGAATATGATGACGGAGGCAGTATGCCCTCTGAAACGTTGGTTAACATCGACCAGACTACACAGCGCAACAACCCAGAAGACAGAAATCTTCAAGCCTTTATAATTTAGTGCTTTGTAGTCTTGACCACTTTGTAGTTCTTCTCCATGGTAACACAGCTTCTTTGTAACTTTATCTCTCACAAATAACACACAACACAACAGACACTTTCCAGTGCAACCATGCTATGTTAATAGACAGGAAACAACTGTCAATGTTGATCTTCTGGGTTGTATCACCATATGGACTTATAGGTAAAGGTATCAGTGTTTCAGAAAAATGTATGACTTTTAATGTCAGCCCTGTAGATATGTTACTCTGAAATATCATTGTCTACCCATGTGCTATTACAACCCATAGGACCAAAATCAACGTTTTCCCCACCTTCATAACCTAAAATCTTATATAGGAAATACCTGATTTCCTTGTTTGAACATTCAATCTTGCATGGTATGAAAGATATAAGTAATGTTTTAAAATTGACTTAACTAAGATTACACATTTGATTGTTTGCTGTGTTTGTAGGTGTTGTTGGGGAGGAAGGTGAAGGTGGAGAGGATGATGAAGATGAGTTTTGTGAAGCTCTTTCTGAGTTTGAAGATGGAGAAGGAGAAGGAGAGCAAGAGTGGGGTGGCACAAGCTCTTCACCATTACAGCAGAGTCAGGTACAGTTGAGCTTAAACACATTTGTGCTTAGGAAGTGAAATAAATTATTACATTAAAACAATTAAATTGGTTGTTACTTCATAAATAATAGTGCAAAATTGGGAGAAATAGAATTAATGTATGCTCCCTCTTCTCACAGTGTTTTCATAAGTTAGGATCATGTGTTCTGTGAAGAGGTACTATATTTAGTTCACATTGAGAACTTTGTATTTGTTATACGTTAGTTTGTGAATCTTCCAAGTGCTTACATTACTACCAGTTTTAGTTTTCTGTGAAATTTTGTCATAAAAATTAAATTATGTTAACTCTATGAATCTAGTTAAGAAGTAAAAGGCAAAAGAGGTCAACATTAGAACTTTCTCTATTTTGGAAGTATGAATATGTAAATAACCATCAAAAATCTCAAGAAGCTAAACATGAAATTGATAAATTGACACCTTTTCTGAAAATGAGGCAGTAAGCACCAAAAGACAGCCATCTTCATACCCATTACCATGAAAACCTGAAATCCCAGTCATATAACTAAAATCAATTTATTGAAAAGACTTTTGGGTCTGTTTAATGGAAATAATATTAAACATCTTTTTTAAGACTTAGTGGAAATTTTGAAGTTATATGTAGGTTAATATTTGAAGGTGGGATTTTCACTTCCTGAATAATCGTACAGTGTTACACACTGTGCTGTACGATCTGTAATTTTATTGTAATAATTCTCTAAAGGGAGATGAGGCATCTATGGTAGCGGCCTTACCACAGGGCCCTACTCACGTTGACTGCCCAGAAGATGAAGATTTCCTCTCTGCATTTGACAGAATGGTATCAGATAACATCCAGGACCGCATGCGGGAGACAGTGAAGCCACAACAAGTTGACATTTCTGTTCCATTGCACATTAAAGGCAATGCCAAGAAGACCTATGGTATTGTACAAATATTAACCTTTGTCTTTATTAGCAACTGCTGTTTCCTCAAACACACCACAGTTGTAAATGTGATGACAACCTTTAATTCACTGTAGATTTCTATAAAATTGTATAAATCTTAAATAACTTGTGCAACTGTGAGAGTCACTGGGCTATCTCTGATATTTCCTTAAATGAAAATTGATCTACAAAGATAAATAAGAGGATTTGTTATGCTCATTTTTAATTTTGTATCAAAATCCATTGAGTGATAGAATAATGAGGAGTGAACATTATAATTGTTACCATTTTGTTACTGGCCTGAGCAGTTTGTGTATTGTAATTTAGTGATCTATTAAATTATCTTTAGTAGTGGTTCAACCTTACAAATATGGGGCGGGGCATGAGGATGTGACTTATTTCTCTCAGTAGCCTGTGGAAAACTGTCACATCCTCACGTATAATATGGACTGTTCTTTATGCATATTCCTTTCTTTGTTTCAGAGCAATTGCAAGAGACAAGAGTTGAAGAGAAATCTACAATGAATTTTGTGTTGATGGTCAGGAAAGGACACAAACAGCAGTACAAGAGTTTAGCTGTACCCATTAATTCTGAGTTGGCGCTCAATTTGAAAAATCGTGAGGAGGTAAGGCCTTGACATTATTTTCAACTTACATGTCATATTTCACTGCAGTTATATGTAAGATGATTGGAAAAACATATTTATTTCATACAAGATTCGCTGAAGTGTAATACAGCAGTTGAATATTATAAATATACTGAAAATTTATAACTTTAATAATTTGTTTGTTGTAGTTCGTTCACTGTATTATGGTTTGGCACAGCAGTGCTGCAGCTAACTCACATTCTGGAAGTATCATGAATGCTAACTGTTCTGTCATATGGTTTTCATGGATTGCCTATTAGATCTACCATAATTGCCCTAATTGATTGAATTAACTGTGATATTGTTATCTTCATCAGGCCGAACGAGCTGAAAAAGAGCGAGTGAAACGCCTCACCTTGGATATCAATGAAAGACTAGAAGAAGAAGATTATCAAGAAATGCTTGCACAGGTATGTAATGTAGTATGCTTACTCTTGTGTTATTGAAGAATTATTATTCCTTTCCAGGGACACTTCTGGAACACATTTTGACTCTTGCATGTAGAGTTGGTCAATTCACAGTTTATTATCTTAACAATAACTCAAATTTTTCTCCTCAAATTAGTTTTGTATGTTAAATTCTATTGGCCCATTAGTGGCCACAGTTCCATCGAGACATAATATTACCATACCACAACAAAAATAACTAGTAGAACAATTTCATCTTACAATATGGCTTCATTACAGTAATATTTCAGAATAAAATTGGATGTGCAGCGGTTAATTCACTATCTTGAAGATATTCTAATATTGACTTGGACTGTTCCAATAGGTGTTTGTCCATGTTGAGGGAATATTTTAAAATATTTATTTGTAATTATATAATTTATAAACAAAACTTACATTCATTTGTTTAAATATAAACAATGACATTTTCTTTCTTATTTTATTGATTCTTTTATAAATAATCATTAAGCTGAGAAAAGTTTTTACTTTATTATTTTATTATTATTTTTATTTAAAGGGTATCTGCTCCTGTTGTACCTGACCTATTCTCACTCTTCAGGCTCTTTACATTGTTTACTATGTTCTGGGATAAAGAATAACAGGTAGTTTACCAAGCAAATATTACATTTCACGAAATATCATCTTATGGTGTCCACCGCTGTGACTCAGAAACCAGTTATAGTTTTTTTTCCATCCAGCTGCACTTTATTTCGGATATATCACATTTTTCCAATTGGTCATACTTTATCCTTTTCTATCTCATTGTATTTCCACATGTTTATAAGTAATTTACCTTGTCAAATTTAGATATTTAAAGATTTTTTTGTTTTTGTATTTTTAGGCTCAGAGGCCTGTGATCATGAATCTGAACAGAGAGAGGAAACACAAATATCAGCACCCAAAAGGTGCTCCTGATGCAGACCTCATATTTGGACCAAAGAAGGTTAGGTGAAGTGAAGGCTGCAGAATGTTTCAGATTTTGAGTCATATGGATTGAAGTCCACTGTGGTTGGTAAAAGGTGAGAAGAGACTGTTAGGTTTTACATAATATTAACTATTACACCAAAAACCATTGATTTGATTTTCTTGTAACATGGTTAAATGGAGGATACCATCTTGAAATCACCTGCCCTATGGTCATGTTAATAGTAGTTTATTGATGGTTATGTGACCCTTGTTTTGGAAACACAGACTAATGTGTGCTTTTTTTAAGATACGCATTTCAGCTAACATCATGACAGAATGGGGAAGAAATTAAATGCAGTGCAGTTTCTGAATGTAAGACTTGTGAATATAATTGCCTGTCTCATTACAGACTTTGCTTTTAATATCATCCTCTGTATGTTACTAAAAGCTGAAAAGGAAATTTACAAAGTGTATCTAAGCCTAGTATTACAGATTATTATGTGGTTCATTAATTTGACAAATGATACTTTGATCATACTAAAGCAATTATCTTTTAAAATAAAGAAAGGTAGGAAGGAACTATGAAACATTAGGTATTTTCTAATACCATGGACTTGAAAGTATTGAGTAAGTCAAGCAATGGGACAGAAGTTTATAAAGAACAGGCTTGTTTTTATTAATCTTTGGGGTATGAGATTTTCTTAATGTTCATTTTCTTAACACTGCTAATACTGAAATAAAACAAACTGTGTTGATCAGTACACAATTTTTATGTAAGTTTGTTTTCTTCTAATGTTCTCTGAGGATTAATAAATTTGAAGACATTTAACACTGAAATAATTGAACTTGGACCATGAAAATACAATACTGAAAGAAGGAAAATCTGAAATTGGGATTCTGTTTCAGGCATTGTTCCTCTATGTATTGGTCTGTAAGTCATTTTGTGGATTTCATAAATAAAATTGTCATTCTGCTTTCTTAAGTGTAGTGAAATCCTTTACATGATGAAATTTAGAGATCATATATGTTTGAAGTTCTGAAAATAGGTTTTTTAATGAGCTAACTTTTCTTTTTGAAATTATTTTCACATTTTTATGATTTTATGATGATTCTATATGTGTGAAAGTGTAAATATAGATTCACGTTTACACTGCAGTTTGTAATTCCCATAGTTTTGCAAGGCCAGTGATTGTCAATATTATGTATGATAAGTTGTAATGGCAGAAATAAATATGTCATGTGGAACTTCATGCAGAAAAGGGTTTCAGTTACTTTGAGACATAATTTGAAATGTATGTGCCATCACCATACTGGTACTTTTAAGAATAAAAAAAGTTGACACAATTTTTTTTTACTTTTGTTTATATTCTTCTCATCATACCAGTTAGTACTTTCCTGTTTGCAGTGCTTTATTACCTACTATTAAATCATGATTTCATGTAATTGCATTATTGCTATATTGATATTTTAAATACATATGTGTTTCATACAAAGTTTGTAGACATGTTTTTACTGTCATATCAAATTTCTTGTGAGTAGCTACAAAATTATAAAATGTGAATGTTTTATGCAGGTGCATATTGATGTTTTTTCATTTTAGGGAAGAATGACTTTAAGCAAAATTAATTGCTCTTATTGCTTGAAACAGACACTTCTGTCATGAAGTTTTAATTTAAATATCAATTTTTATGTTAGATTTACTGAGGTTATATAAATTACTCAGAAAGATGTTCATATCTCAGTGTGATTTATGGGTGAATGGCTCGAACTATTGGCAAGACCTTTCTTGTACTGAAGTTTGTATGTGCCATATCTCTTTTGATACAATAATGAACATCCCCCAAAAATGTGATCAGTACTTTCTTTGTGTGTAAAACATTTTGATGTGTGTATTTTTTTTTTGTGTGTGTGTGTGTCGAAGTATTTCATTTTGGAGATCAGTCAGAGTTTGTATTTCACATGAAAACTGTAGAATAGAGAAGCTTTTATTTTGATCAGTAGTTGCCCTTTTATATTGAGATCTGTACTCATCTCCAGTAATTTCATTAATATACAGAACTGACCTTACCATTGTTTGTATGTGTGACTTTTGTATATTTAGATAATACTGCATGGTATGCAAGGTTTTAAGCTTCCCATAGGGGATACAGTAGGGCCCCGCTTTTCGGCGCTCTGCTTTATGGCGATCCGCTAATACGGCGCTCAACAGCTGAGTCAGAGAAGTGCGTCCGGCTCCATTTTCTCATCGCTGATTCAGTCTGTTTACAGCTTTTGTGCGCTCCGTGTCTCTGTATTTCTGGCAATTTTTCAGTTATTACAAACTATATATTTATATAATATTTTTGTGTTACTACAGTGTAATTACAATGGCGTCTAAGGGTAGTAGCGATAAAAAGAGGAGTCGTAAGCCTCTTACTTTAAATGCCAAGTTAGAGATGATTAAACTTCGTGAACAAGGCATGTCTATGGCTTCCGAACCATCACCAAAACGAATAGGATTCGTTGAAGAGTCACATGATGAAGATGCGCCATCTCCTTCATCCTTCCTACTATAAGCATATCAATTTTCAAATTTATATTCACCAATCACTATAAGCTGAGGACAATGTGTGTATTACTGATATTCATTTTAATTTCATATCGTTTTCTTAGGCCTAGCGCTATTGTGCACTTACTATATGATTGTGTAACATCTTATTAGGCTTTGATATGCATTTGCAAGTGAAATAAGGCGATTTTCGCTTTACAGCGGGGGTCTGGTCCCTAACCCGCCGTATAAGCGGTGCCCTACTGTACAATATTTAACCTTTCAAGGCTGAATGGTCATATTCAGTACATTTTTAGGGACTATTGAATGTTGTTCCTAAGGTGTGTCAAGAATACTTGTGCTTGTTTTGGACACACTCATTGTGTACAGACAACTATACCAGCACAGTAGTGAATCTCTGAAGTCCATCGATCTGGTTGATTACATTGTCCACATTTACAGGGGTGCACAAGATGGTGGATGAGCCTGAGTAGTTTGTGATGGCATTATCCACAATTATTATGAACTGATCTGCATAATTTGGAAATCTGTTTACAAACCTTTCTTGAAAACTGCCAGCATGTGTTTTTAAATGATAAGTGGAAACCCACATTTGTGAATGTGAATGAAACACCTACTTGCAAGATTTTGTTCTCATGGGTGAATATGAAGATGACTGTCTTCTGGGTTGTGCCGTGTAGTCTGATACAGGTTTACTGATGTTTCAGAGGTGCTTGCTACAACTATCATCAGGCCACTAATCACCTTAATGATGGAGGGAGCAAGCACCTCCCTCTGAAACATCAGTAAACTTCTACCAGACTACATGGTGCAACAACCCAGATACATCAAATTGCTCTCAGGAATATAGTCTGTTTTTGCTGATGCTACATGTCACAATAAGTTGTTTAATTTTCCTATAAGGAGTTTTTTCCTCCTTTTCCTGATGAATCCAACGAAAATGTGTTTTATGTGGTTTTGATTTACTCGTGTTTTGTCTAAGCAGAATAGAGGATGCTCATGCCCTGAAATTCTAAGGTTTTCTGAACTGCCCTATGGAACTTAATTCAGATCATTTTTTTTCTCTTTCAGGATTTTGTTCGTCATGGAAACTACCTTTAAAATATTCAGTTTGAGTTTCTAGGCACGTATTATATAAATTTCTATGTATATGTTATTTTAGAAATCTCCTGCTACAAAATTTGAAATAAGGTGCAAATATTGGCCGCAATTTTATTACATATTTGTGTTTTATTATCAGGTTTGTGTAGAATTTTGTCAAAGAAACCTCACGGACAAAACTTCCATTTCAACATAGCGGGTAATATCCACCCATTCAGTTCGGCATACTGGTAACTAATGTTTTACGGTTTCGCCTTTGATTTCCAAGGACTCTCCAACTTCTTTTTTGGTAGAGGCGCAGTTTATGTAACAATATGGCGAATAACAGCTAGTGGCTAGACCTGAAATTACGATGCTAGAGTAAGGAGTTGACGGTATGAGCACAGTACCATACTTGCTCCGGTGGCATGAACTGTGCTTGGTGGAGCAAGCGGGAACTTACTTCTGTCTTGTTAACCTTGGAGTATCGAGATGGCGCATTGATTCCGAAGCTAATTTCAAGTGTTTTTGTGAGGACTGCTATGTTGTGTTGCGCGCATTTGTGATAAGTTATTTGGTCTATAACTTCGTTATATTGTTTGTGCTGTTGTGAAAAATGGAATTTGTAAGATTGTCGACGGGATAAGGTAGGTTTCATTGCATATCATAATGTTAATTTGAAAAAAACGTGTGGTGATACAGAGACCGCGGTCTGCTTGAACGTTACGTTTTTATTTAAGAAATGTGAAGGTACTTTTGTTCTTGGTTTGCACAGTGTAATTTGAGTATTTAGGTGATGGAATAATCAATAATAAGCATTTGCTTAAATATAAAAATATACTGAATTTTACCCGAATGAAGAGTTTTGGGGCCCGGGGGGGGGGAAGCTTTCCATCCTATTCTTCCCGTCTCTCCTAGATTGTATAGCACAAATAAAGCTACTTTGTTTCGTTTTGCAATTGTAATAGTTTTGGGGGCACTGAACCTAGAGCATACACTTCCAAATACAGAAAGTTATAAAAGGAAAACAGAATTCCATTTCTGCCTTGTATCTTCTCAATCTAGTATGAATTATGTTCCAAAACACCATTTCACCAAATTACGTTCAAGAAGGCTTATTTTTAATTGTTTTGATTGTGAAGGGAAATGATTAAAAAATGTTTTGGCCCATCAGGTTTTTAAGGTGTATGTAAGAGAGCTGGATTTGTACCTGATTAATGACCTCAGCATACAAAGCTAATGATAAAACTATAACCATTATTAACATGTTAATGTTTTTGGATTTTACTTATGTGAGGAAAAGGTGACTATTTGAAACATTTAGTGGTTAGGATTTGAGGTTTTCATGGCCGTGAGTTTGACTGTGTTCACCGTTGTTGTGCCATATATTCTGGTAGAAGTTTACCAACATTTCAGAGGTCCTTGCTGCCTCCATCATCAGGGCGATTCCCCTGATAACGGAGGCAGCAAGTACCTCGGAAACGTCAGTATGGTATGTTTTGTGTTGGAACCAGTGACAGTTCATGTTCTTTAGGTGGTCACAAGCTCCCAGGTTTATAACTTTGGACAGTATGCCCATTTTTTAGAATGTCTATGAACGAAATATTGTGTTTGACTATCCAGAGGTAGAAATTATGTTTTTACTTTTTTCTCAGCTCCTTCATTTTTGATGTGATGGTGGCATCTTGTATCATGATTGCTTTGTCTGCTTTTTTCCCTGCTCAAAAACGTTCATAATTTCAGTCATTATTTGCATAAGGATTGTGACAAAGGTTTGGCTCAGAAAGGATAGACATGTGGCATTGAACAGATGAAGGGGTGTTTAACCATCCCCAATTGTTCACACATAAGTTCTGCTCTTTTTGAGCTGAATAGTGAGCTTTTATGACTTCTTTAGTAAATAGACCAGATATAATCATTGTTTCTATTTGTGGTTACTAGGTGTAGGTAGTTTGTTACATTTTTGGGTTCAAGAAGTTAACATGATCTTGAACTTACTTTGTTGAAATATCTGGTGTCCTAAGTAAGTTGGAATGTCCCTACTAGCATAAGATGGTTTTGTTCTGTATTGTGACCAACTCATTTCTTGGTAGTTTGTCATGGCAGAATCCATATTAAATGGGACACTGTACAATACATTAGGCTGGTGAAATCTGTATGCTTTGAATGTGTGTTCTGTAAATTCCTTAGATTCTATATAAATTTAGTGTGATTTAAATGGGTGTGAGTGTGTGGACTGGATTCAGCGTACGCATGATTGAACAGGGAAGGGGGTAGAGGTTCTTATGACTTTGTAATGGGCCTTTGGTTTGGGAAAATCCTTGACTACCGGAGCAAATATTAATTTCACATGATAGACCCTGCATCGTGGAAATTAGTGAGATTCCATGCCTCTTCTTTGACACTTCCCCAGACTGAGGAACATGTATGGAACACATTATTATGTGTAGTATTCATGAAAATGAATCTTAGGAAAATGGGAGGGACTGTATGGACTGGTTTGATCTATCTGGCACAGGATAGGGACAAGTGGTGAACTTCTGAGAATATGGACTCATGTTCGATAAGAGGCTTGGGATTTGTTGACTAGCTGAGCATACTCTCAGCTTCTCAAGAAGGACTTTGACCTTGGCATTATGATATGATTTTTGTATGACATTCAATGTGGAAGGGCTTTTTGTTCTTGTAAGGCACATATATAAAATGTGCCAGAAAACCAAACCTAACCTTCCTTATACAGAATGATTATTTACTTACAGACTTGAGAACTTATTGTTTGCCATTGTGCTACAGCGAAGTTAAAGTACAGAATGTTGGCCAGAGTGGGAGCTTAGCTTCTTAAAATCTGGGCATTCACATTTTTTAATGGCACAGAACCTCATGTAGGGTTAAAGTGTAGAATGTGTATTAAAACTAGTTAAATGTCGTTTCTGCTTATTTATTAATTATTTAATTCTATAAATATATGAAGTTGCTTTGGCCATTATGTCTTGATATTGCTGGAATGGATCTAACTTCAAAATGTTGGATTGATCTGCATTATTAAGTTGTCTTTATTGATTTCATGAGTAACCATTGAGTGTTTTGTACTGTCGCATTCATTATGCTGTCTTTTGATGTAGGCTGGTTTTGGATCATGCAATCACATTGATATATATTGCTCAGTATTGTATTGCCTGTATATTCTTTTGTTGGTTGAAACAGACCAGTGTCATAAATACTGCATTTGATGTGGAGAAAATGAGACTAGCACATAATAAGTTAAGTTGAATTTAACCATAATTTTTATGTTTTGGGTTTTGATTTGTTGAGAGTTGCATGTACCAGTGCAGTAGACTTGACTAAATCATATTTAAATTATGAACATGCAATTTGGGGAGTTGTTTGTTGCCATTTAACAGTAATTTAGTCCGAGTGCAAGATGCGCTTTTAGGTTAGCATTGTCCAATAGAAAGTGATGGAACTTGGATTAAGACCCAGATGGTCATTACCATAAAATTATATCTGCGTATCTATTTCTATCTAAATTTCTGGAGATAATGTAACCGCTTATGATTCGATAAGTCTCCCAAGACTACAGTATTTTCCCCCAGCATTGACCTGTCAATTCTGCCGGATCAACCAACAGTTGGTTTGGCGACATGCATTACGTTTGTAAGACATCTTCTTTTAGCGTCACATTGTCATTTATTTTAATTTTGCAATACAGGTACTGTATACACACACAATTCTGGAACTAAAACCCATTTTACTTGTCTGTAAACTCACTAACAAAACCAAGTGAAGTATTTTGTAGTAACTAATTTTAAGTTTTCATGGTGATTTAATTGTAGTTGATCCTTCTGTCGTTCAGTATGTGTTTATGGTTTATTTAACAGCGGTGTTAATAGCCCAGGTTGTACCGTCGGATGACAGGATGATCAGTAGATTGTAATATGGAAATGATGTGGAAAAAGGTGTATAATTTGAGGTACAATCTCGGAATTTTCCTGGAGTAAGGAAAAAATTTCCCCCCACCCCACCCTCGAATACGAAATAGGAGTGCTAACGACTTCGCCGCGACCTTGGTTTTCGGTACATGGCTGTTGGTATACTTATTTAAAATGTGCCGCATCGAAAGCATCTGATGTAGATAGGATCTCTGGTGCTGTACGGAACTCACTGCATGGCATGTCTGATACTTTCATGTTAGAGGCTAATAATTAGGCCAAGTATTTTTGTAGATATTTTGTACTTTATTTAAGGACGGCACACGAACTGAAATGGCTATCTGGCATAACATGATAAATGGTGTGATTGTGAATTGCAGTAGAAAGGATTGGGGGGTGGGGGATATTGTGACCTATTTTAATGTAGGCCAACTATGTCAGTATTTTCCTCAGTGGTATGAAGCAGACTGTCACGAACGTGGGTCTAACAGTTCAAGTTTGTGATTGACTCGCAAAAGAGACTTGTTCATCTTGCAAACCTTCACTTTCCCTTTGTGTACAAGTTCATTTGCAAGTAGGCCTTCAATGAATATGTCTGGAAAATTCCGTTCCTTAATGCCTCTTCTCATGGCTAATGCCGGGATATTAGCCTAAATATAGGTTGCTGCTGCCTATTTAAAAATCCTTCTCCACGGAGCGTCAGTTAGCATGGCGTCGCTATGTGACGATCTGCAATTTCTGAAGATGAAACATCCTTGTTAAATAACACGAAGGATATTTTGTTTTTCTGTCAATGTATTAAATCATTCGTTTGGTGTGGGGCTGTAGCTGTTGCAGACGTGATAATAGCAGTTCACTTATTGAAAGTGCGTGTCGCCGTCAGCCCAGTAGTTCGTGGGCAAGCAAATACGGGTGTTGGAAAGTGGCCGCGGTCCAGACATCCTCGCGAGGAAAGTTTATAATTATTTTGGAAATTGTAAAATTACTGTCACTTATTTGCTCTGACCGACACACTTTACATGTAGACCGACCCACACTGTTTAAAACTATATTAGCTGTTAATTAGGATACTATAAACTCTGGTGGTCTCAGTTTATAAAGGTAGCCCCACGAATTAAGCGTGATGTCAAGTTTGCGCCACAACCGATTTCATGGCGGTAGCTTCCAATGTATTGTAATTTTAGTGTGTATTGACGTGCCATAAACGCACACAATTTCTGTTTAACATTTGCGTCTTTCTTTGCTATGCTGCTATTAAGTGGAAAACTATAAATTCTCGGAAGTGGCTTAAGTATGGTCGCGACAATCCATAACGCTTTGTGTACTGTCTCCAGAATGGTTCGTCTTGTAAGATAAAGTTCAGGTCATAAATGTTAATTTAAGAGAAATTATAGATGTTTTGAACTCGACAGGTGAAGTATTTTGGAACCGCAAACTGCAGTATACTAACGTCCAATCTTTGTAATAAATTATCTTTTAAGTTCACAATGTCAGCAGCGCATTTTGCTGTTTTGTTACGTTTCTCTTGTTCATACGCACACCTGTAAGATACCGTGTGTGGACTGGACTGCAAGTCACATTCCATTGATTTTGTTATGCATAGTTGCAGCCATAAATAAACTTAGCACGTGCAGCTGTTCAGGCTGAAAACTCGGTAAGTGACGTGGCGTTTCGTCCAATTAAAATACCCAATTCGCGTCAGGAATATGCTTGTTGATAACGTGTTTTCTGGGTGTTTAGTTTCGATTTGTAGTATCAGTGTTTTCGGATCGGAGGCTCACCCCAGTTTCTTTCAGAATTGTGAAATAAATCGAAGTAGATCTCTTAATCCATCTATTGACATACAGAATAGGTGTAACCCCATTTGCTGAGGCAGCATTCGGTTGTTGTCTACATACGTTTTACACAGACTTGAGAAAATTGCACGCTGAGGAGCTCCATAATTCGTACTTTGCTCTGAATATTATTAGGAAAATCGAGTCAAGGAGGATGAGGTATTGGGGGAAGTAGCACTGTATAGACGACCTCCCGTAGTCCAGCCCGCAACCGGTCAGTTTGATCCCTAAATTTGAGGACCATGTCAATGCCGCTTGTGTTCTTGTATGCCTGCAGTATTGTACTTTCCATGCTTAAATAGTACACATTCTTCTTTCAAGGTTAATGGCTCAGGTGGTAGGTAAAAGGATGTCATTACGTTTCAAATTGGTAGTAATTTTATATGAAGTGCTTGTGGTTTTTCAAGGTACTTGACCATAAACAGGTTCAGTTGACAGGCAAGTGACGCGAAGGTTGATGGTATTTATTGTGCTGGCAGACTCACAAAATGCGCGCTTCACGTTAGACCAGTATTAAAACATTACGCAATATCTTCAGGTTACGCTACCAGCAGCCACGTTGTAAGTGGGGGCTTTCAGTCGAATCGGAATCTTTAACAGAATACGTAGGCGTGTGGTCAGAAATCGAGATTCATATTCCGCAGATCTCTAGTTTGAATCTCGACCCGGAGACGGGTTGTCCAGACTGCTGTTTCCATAGTTTTTCCCCAATTCCTCAGGTATAAGAATGGTTGGATGACATTTTAAAACCGGCGAAGGAAACGTATTCCCACATTCTAAGTTGTCATCACAACCATCCAAACACTCTTCTACTAGATTACAAGGTGTTCTTTATGCCTGAAATCTCATGAAATGAAAACTACTCTTCTTGTAATGTTGTAGAAGCTCTTCGTACGCTCAGTTAATGAATTTCTCTGCCTTTTACGGAATCCGAAAGTTCATTATTCTGTTCACAAGAACCCGCCATCGTTCTCTGTCCTGATGAAATAAATCTACACCTTCGAACCATATTTCCAAAAGATCCATTTTGATAACGATCCTCACATTTGTGCCTGGGTGTTTCTTAAGGTGACTTTCTCCTTCTCAACCCCCCCCCCCCAATGCGTGCAACGTGTCCCGAAAAGTTAATGAAGTTCTGGTATCTGTACAGCAAAGGGAAGGAGTTTAAGGCGTTTGTTGCAATTTTGTACATACGCGCCTTTCGCTGTTTGATAAACACATCTTAACAGTTTGCGTAAGTGAAGCCCTCGTATTTAAGGAGGGCCCAATTTCCGTGTATGCATCCGTTTTTAACTCCCCTATTCATACGAGAAATATTATAAAGCGCTAATATAAAAACCATCGTGGGTGGGGTCCGGTAAATAACACTGTTAAAACATCGCCCACTTCCTGCCGTTTGGAGAAGTAAACATAAGTCCATGTTTAATCAAAATGGAAGGATTTATCCTCCTCCTCTCATCGTGTCTATCGATTCAAATCCCAATAATTAGGCCTACAGCTCGAAACAATGTGCAGCAGAAAGTAAACGCCCATTACGTACTCAGATACGCGGGCAACGACTCTGCTGTGGAGAGTAAACATACGTTCAGTCTTTCTTCTTTTAATGTTCATAGGCAGCAGCGGGTGGGCCCAGGGGGAAGTGGCGAGGTGAAGAGCAAGATGGCCGCTGCCGCGGCTGGGCCATGTTGCCTTGATTTCGACCTCGACTCGCCGGAGGAAGAGGTTGTGTTTGGTGGCTCTAACCCAGCTTCTAGGATGAACAGCCTCGACAATTTCAAGTTAAGGATTCGGAGAGGCAACGCTGTAGATACTGCTGCCAGAAGAGGACCCATGGTGAGTGTAGAAATCAAGCCATTTTTGTATATGCAGAACGCATCCTTATGTGTCTGTAAGCTTTTCTGTTTATGGTCTGCATAGGCGAAGTTACTGGACACTTGAACATGCTAATTCTCAAAGTTTCTGTCCCAGAATCGTAATCAGCGGCGTAGTCGTGGAAGATTGCCGTGTCACAAAATTCCGCCCATTTTAGCATAGTACAGAGTTGCCTCTGCTCCGAAACATAATTTTAGCGTAATAGAGAAATGTTTTCTGATAACATTAATTAGGCTACTTGCCCGCTAATGCCGGGTGGAGCCAAAAAATGTGGTTTTAAAATGTACAAATGAACGGCTTTTGGGGGTTCAAAAGAAACTGGTTTTGACGTATAAGTTATGTGCCTAAACACGTGTTCAAAAATATTTATTAGATTTTGCTGGTATGTTACACAGAAAAGGAATTTTCATTTTGATTGATTACCTAGTAATTTGAATTCTTATCGGAATTAATGTTACGTAGGGTCCCCAGTTTCCTTGGTCGATTGCTTAAACCCGTCTTCGATTGGCCGAAGTGATCGGAAGTTACAATGCGATATGAGATGCCACACTTAGTTTCTTTGTGTAAAACTTGATAGAACCGCCATTTCAGCCCCTGGAGTTGCTGTCAAGAAGGGTTTGTAAATGTTTGCGTGTATTTTCATCCCTTTCGGTCGTGTGCATAGAATTGAAGTGCCTGACAGACCCCGTCAGAGTAAAATTGTGGCCATGAATTTAGGTCACGCGTGTAGTGTGAAATTTTGACTAGATGTTCTTATGTACATTCGATTACAATTGACGTAAATTCCCGTTAAATTCCGTGAATATAAATGTAACTGATGGTTTAAGAGGTCGTTGTTATACCTGGTATGTGGTAAGCACGCAACCAGTTGGCATGTGACTTGGCACACGCGAAGTATTTTTCGCATATCATTTGTTAACACTTGGAAACTTTCCAGAAACGTTGCGATTTATATTCAGATAGTTCGTCAATTGTAGACGTTTCGAGATTTGTCAATACGCCCCATGTCTTCAAGGTGTGGTAGACACCGTGGAAGGAGAACATGAAGCGATTGAAACTTGAGGTCCACTTCGGCGTGGCCGTTGTTGCAGTTTGCTTCATGCTTCGTGTTCAGGAGATGGAATCTTGATGCGAAGACTCTTTGACTACGAGATTTCGTGGTTTTCCTCGGTCCCGTGGTTAATAATAAATAATGTTTGACACTGCCTATAGCAGCCTAACGGCAATTTACATTTGTGAGTTGGGAATTTCTTTTACAAGATTTGGAGCATTTGCAAATTGCAGCTTGTAAATGCTGATGATGCTTTGTTTAAGATATGTGTCAAAAACGAGTTACGTTTTCAGGTGGAATTACGTTATTTTACGGACCGCTGTAACTGGGCCATTATGGTTCCAATTTATATGTTTTATTTCGAATTGCTTAATTAGACGCAAGCCACGTTTATTTGTAGGGATTTATCAGTTACTGTATTCTATATTAAGGGACTAAATGTGATCATGATGGCTAATTGGTGATAGTCGCTTAGTTGGTCACTAAATTAAGAATCATTTATGAAACCCGAACGTTTACAGTAGCACCCCATTGCCCTCAAATGGGAGTCTGCGGACTGATTTTGTTCTTGTTGACCCTTTGGTTGTGTAAGGAACTGTGTGGAATTCCTTGCAATCTAATGGCGTCTAAGCCTAATAATATTTGAGGCAAGAGTCACAGAATTCAACGGGATATGTGTTTTTGGTACAGTGATCTTTCCTGTGAAAATTATTCTTGTTTTTCTCTCGCTTTACTTCTAACTTGCGTGGAACGCACGGTTTTGTCCCGGTCACTATACCGCGGTACAGAAACGAGGTTTTAATCAGGTCCGCCGTAACACTTGAGTCAAGGTCACCGTTATTACGCTGCTTACACCATTTCCCCAAAAGCTTTGCACCCGCGAATAAAATGTGTTCACGAGCGGAACTTGTGTTAATCCTCGAACATTATGACACATCGAAATATTTTGCTGCTGCTCGTGAAGCATTTGGAAATGGGTATCCTGACAAGGAAACGCCGAATTAGACAATAGACCAGGTAGTAACACAATTTCAGGCCACAAGTGTTTACGACAGGAAACATGTTCGGCGTCGAGCAGTGTTGACAGGTGAGACGCTCCGTATCTTTCGGTTGACATGAAAGTCTGTTAGCTTTTTGCCTAGTTGAGCGTACTACCTGCTTTTCAAGGACTATTCTCCGTGGATTAATTACAGATGTGTGTCAGGAAGCGCCGCTTGTAAGTTGTCTTGGGGTAGCATAAGAAAGAACACAGTAATTCTTGTTATTTAACGACGCTGGTTTTTAATCAGTCAGTTACAAGGTATTGATTGAGACGGATACCGTAATGGAAGAAGATGGTGGCTGTCTTCTGGGTTGTTGCGCCGTGTAGTCTGGCAGACGTACGTTTCAGTGGTCCTTGCTGCCTGCTTTATCTGAAATGTCGGCACAACAACCCAGAAGACAGCCATCTTCGTACTAGTAAAGTGAAGAACTTGGATGGAGGCTGTTGTGATCTGTGTGAAAGTCGTGTATAGGAATTCGCCTGGGGACTGTACTTGTGAATTGGGTGTCCATATGAACCCGTTGAAGAAGCTGACAGACGTGAGACGAAGCCGTAGAAGACCAACAGCGTAGTGATCAGCACAGCGATGCCACATTTCTAGTCGGTGTAGAATACTGCCAGCGGATAAACTTGTTGAGGCGCAAGATCTCTGTTTCGTGAGTGGCAGATTGTAAACACACACACGACCTCTACAGTTGAAGTTATGGGGAGGAGCAAGGTCTGCGTCTTGGCCATTTTCTTTCGCCAGTGTTCGGCTCTGGATAAAGTTTCCAACCGACGCCAGTCACCCAGCGATACCCGGACCGCAGAATACCAGTTTAGATTATTTAATGACGCTGTTTCAAGTACATGGATTAGTTTTGTTGGTTTTTTGGGGTTAGCAATTCATTTTTAGCTGCATAGGCGTAATAGGTCGAAAGGTAGGGTGATTGTGATTGAGTTGGGAAGGAACCGGTTTTCCGTTTTAAAAGTGTTGTCAGATCATTTGCCGGATTCGAAGAGTGCTAATTACTACACGCCACGTTCTGTGCGTCTGTTTAGCGTCTAATTAAATGGGAAGATGGTCCTGAATGAGTAGGAAGGGATTTTGAAGGAAGAGGAGCTTTAAACCGAATCTGGAGTGGATCCCAAACTATAAATCAAAACTGATACGTATAACTTACTGCGGATCCCAGAACGTACATTTATGTTTATTTTTTCTGTTGCAAAACATTTTCTGTGTTGCGTGTGAGATTAATATTTATTAATAGGCCGTATCATTAACATGTAAATATTGCCATTGGCCGGATTAATTTATTTTCGGACTGTAGTTTACTGTCCCCTGATATAACGACTATCGGGCACACGCACGCAATCAGACTTGTTTATAGGGACGGATATTTTGCCTACCTTTAGTAGTTCAGTGCTACTCCTTACACTAGAACACAGAACTGATCAGATAAAAGGTATCGTTAACCAGCTGCAGCCAGCTTGGCGTTGTTAACCATTTAGTTGAGGACTAAGCTCGCCGCATTCCGGTATATGGAGTACCACAGAACCACGCAAGTAAAACAAACGTTTTCGGTTTTAGTTTTTCAAAGTGTTAGCCGCGCTAACACGGCGAACGCCTTGGTCCCGGAATATATGTCTGTGTACGTACGTATGGCCCTATGTCAGTGCATTTGTCTCGAAGAACTGCAATAAAGAATAGGATGCCCCTTGTTGTGGCCGAGAAGTAAATGACATTTTGTGAGACCTGCTCGATTCTTGGTCTTGTGACGTACGTCATGAGCTGAACGTACAATCGCTTAGCTGTTTTGGATGTTCAGCATTTCAGACACAGACATGCATTCAAGGGATAGTCGGTTCGATATCTGCAGGGGAACGTTCTGTTTTAAGTCCAAGCAGATTTACGAGCTTTCAAACAGGATATGACTGCTTTCTGGAAAATATTCGGTTTTCATTAACATCGTTACGTCGTATCCGACGTTATGTAACCTCCACGGTTGAAACACTGTCGTTAAATAAGGCAAAGAATCTGTTTCTTACAGTTTGCGGACCAAACTTTAATAAACATTGCATTTTTTTCGACTGCGTATGTTGTGAGAATGATGGTAATACTTCTTACATGCCATCGTAACCACAGAGAACACCACAGCTAAGTTGTAAAGGCTTGTGTCTCACACGTAACTACGTCCATATCTAATGTGTTTATGGAACAAGAGAGAGGACTGCACATTCATATTTTATGGATTGTTGTAACGATTCAGATAAGGTTATGTTCTTTGGTTGTGGTATTGTAAACGCTTTCTTGAAGTTTCATGCAAATAAGGTGAGGAAGCAAATTCCATAACTTAATGAGAAAACCATTTTATGACGTTTCGTGTGGGGGATGATTGGCTCCTTGTTGATAAAATATTTGTGTAGTCTATGTGTATGATTTTGAACAGGGAATGTGTGTACGGGCTATGTATAAATTTTGGACATTATTTTTCTGCTATCCACCATTTTTACCTTCTTATTCCTTCGCCGCGAGAAAAGTTATTTTGCATTAAAACAGATGAATAGGTCACACTTGGCCAAGTTCTTCTACCTCACATTTAAATTTCGTAAAATATTCGGACTTCCTTTCCGGAAGATCCCCTGGGTTCTGTATTAGTTCACAGTGAAATCTCATTGGCACTCTTGTACGATGTATTCTCTTGAAATGCAATCGCCTCGGATTCGTCTAGTACAGACACTGAATTCAAATTTAATCTGAAACAGTTCTGCTTTCCCAAATGATGCAAGCCGAGAGATGTGTTCATGTACAGAGTATTAACGAATACGTAAAAATATGTTTGAAAATGCACGTGTTTTTGTTACTGTTCTGGTGGCGTTAAGGAAATGAACAGATGCTTTGCTTTCGAAATGTTAATGTTTCGTTGGATAGTGGCAGGTGGAAATTTACGATTATTCGAGTATGGTAGCTAAACAGGATGGGATTCGTCTACGTTCGGGTTTCGCCTGCAACATATCGTTAGGACTTGATGCGTAACGTGTGTGTCGGTGAAGTTGCCGCACGATCGCGGCGTTTTTGACGACAGCGGCTAAAGACCGCTCACATACTTTCCCTCTCCGCAGAGGTTTTGCGCGAGAGACTTCGGTACCCAACAGCGTTTTATCTCTCGCTGTCTCTTTTTTCAGTCTAAGGTGGGACAGGGAGAGAGTGAGGGATGTTTGAGAAATTTGGTCCCGAGGGAGAATTTATAAAAGGGCGAAGATAATTACACGAGATTAGATCTGATTATTTGTTCTCTTCGCAAAATATCGTGCTCTGATCAAAGAGGGTGAAAGGGAGAGGACATGTAGCACGCATTGGGGAGAAGAGGAATGTGTACGTTATTTTAGTTTGGAAAAATTGAAGAGATGAGGGAATTGGGAGACTTGGTGTAGATTTGACGATATTAGAATTTATCGTTTAGAAACTGGATATGAGGATGTTGACTGAATTAAGCTGCATAATGATAAGGTTCAGTGTCGGGCTCATGTGGTCACGGTATTGTAGTTTTTAATTTCATAAAAGTCGGGTAATTATTGGCCACCTGAACGATTGTCAGTTTCTCAGTAAGAACTTTCCTCCGTGGAGTAAGTTGGTCTTTCTTTCTTTCACAAAGTCCACGTGTAGGAACTGGTAACTGCATCATCAGGCGAGAACTGAAAGGATAATTGAGTCAAAGATGATGTGAGATAAAGTTCTTATAACCATTTTTAAGGCGAATACACTGATGACAAGCATTATGTCGTAAGTGAATTTCCGCAGTTAAGTATGAGAGAACTTAACGTATTTTACTATTTGTACTAAAACAAAATAATTTAATTAAAGCAAAGTGGTTTTGATCTCATTGGCTCTAAATGCCCAGTATCGCATGCTTCATCGACTAGAATTAAAATTTCTAAAGAAGAATAACCATGTCGCATCACGTTCAGAATATGAAAGTATAGTCTAACTAGCCGAAACATAACATTTGCAGTACACTGGTTACATATTTATCCAGTTTTCGCCCCAGTTGGAAAAGTTGCATGTGCCATGTCACGTACTCAAAGAGGCCGGTCATAAAACGCGTGAACCTGGGTAATATCAATAACTGCTGCTGCTCCTTGTTCCGCAACAGCCATGTTGATTGTGCAAGAAAACTGAACATAAAGCCCCTGGTGGCTGTGGACTATATGCTGTGTTCCTTTGTTCCAGCCTGGAACACGACTATGTTCTCATTTTGTGCCCGTAGTAGCTTCTTAGATTTCCCCGTATTAACATATGCTCACTTTCTTCATTCATAGATCCTGTGTTGCTTGTTGCTGGACTCTGTTATTTAGAACCGAATACACGTTATATTCATTCGCAAGTATTCCCCCCCCCCACCTTCAGGGCGGTGACTCCTGAAGATGGAGGCAGCAAGTACCTCTGAAACGTCGGTGAACGTCTACCAGACTACGCGGCTTAGAAACCCAGAAGACAGTCGTCTCCACCATCTGCAAATTCACTTTCGTATAGCTTAAGTTTCAGTGCTTTATTAAATAAATCCATAGATTTTATAAAAGCACGCGGGAAGGTTTTCCGGCCTTGTAATTCCTGTCTGATTGTGCAAAGACGATGCGAAATGCGTACCCGAAGACCGATTTGTATTTGTCTTGCGTCATCACGTTACGTCGATTCTCCTCTCTATCCACAGCCATCAGGTTCCATATAAAACTTGCAATCATCGAAGTAATTTTTTTAGACTTTACAGGACTTTGCTTCTGCTGTTATATAAACATTCAATTCCCTTAAAGCCGGTATGTATAATGTAGCCCACCGACAGATTGTTCATCGTGCGACAATGAAACAACTTTTCCTGCCTTTGTTTACTGATCGAGTAAGATCTAAGTTGCGTGCACCTACGCACTGCGCCATTGATATTTGGAGGTAGCCTGGAATTAAAACTCAACAACACTCGAGGTCACGGCGTTTAGTCGTCTTCACGCTTCGACCATTATATCCCCATTGTAAGCGAGTTTGTGTGGACGTGATGGCGAAGAGAAAAATCTCCGCTTGTATTCGAACTCCGGCTGAGTGTTAGCCTGGCTGACAGTGCTAACATGTTTGACAGGGACGCCGGTTATTGTTTTATAAGTTTTATGAGCTGACGGGAAATAGCGCCCAAGTTTCAACATAACTGCAAGTATCAGTGCCAGCCATCTGCATCTGACACTATCCTGAGCCAGTTTCTATCGGACACTATGTTTCTCTGATATCCGTCATTGTTGTAATTCTTCATCATCTCCGTCTTTCAAAAAGCGCCCTTTCCCGGTGTTTCCACATGACTTTTTTTTATTTTTTCCTGTTTCCCATGTCAGAGTTTCACAGTCTGTTTTAACTACTTTTCTAGAAGGACATGAAAATTGAGCATTTCAGCGAAACTATAATTTTTGTGTCGTGTTTTATATGGATGTCTGGCTCAAAGGGAAAGGATATCAGTTGAGGGCATTTTGGAATGAAATACTACAGAGAATATTTTTACATATAAAGAGGAGATAAAAAGCAGGCAATTGATAATGATTAAGATGACTGTCTTTTGGGATGTGCTGTGTAGTCTGGTAGAAGTTTACTAATGTTACAGAGGCAGCAATCACCTATGAAATGTTAGTAAACTTCTACCAGGCTAATGCTACCTCCAAGACAACAGTCATCTTCATGCTTGCCACTATGAGAACCTAAAATCTCATGATGGTGATGGTGACGATGGCGACGGTATTGTTGTTATCATCATCATTTGTCATAGATCAGGAAAATATCACTTTCTTAACAGTAATGATTGCCCATTTTCTGCATTTCACCGATCCCACAAGTTCTTTGTGTGAATGAATAATTACTTTTGAAATTTGAATTCTGTGCCCTCTTATCAGTTCAAGTGCTGTATTTCCATTACTAATTACCTTGTTTATCTTGCACACATGTCCAAAATTACATTCATTTAACATTATTTGTTTTGTTTCTTTGTTAAGGGTAGGAATATAGAATTCTTACACAGTTGTAATTTCAAAGGTTGGAATGTTCTAGTTAAACCTGAAAGCTCAATCACACCTGCATGCACATAAAGAGAATGTTGTTGTGCAAGAAACCGTATAGGGTACGATTGCAATCGCAGTTTACATACAGAAATCCTGCTGTTGTCTGTATATGGGAGTGCTCTGTTGTGAATGTGGAAATGCCATAGGAAGACATCTCCAACTTACATTGCATTGACTTTCTTTTTGAAATGGACCCACTGGTTACATTTTCATAATTTTAGTGGATTAATTCCCATCAGTGATTTTTGTTTATAAAATTTTGTTGATATAAATCACTGTAGTTTTTGTTGAATTCCTGACTTATTAGGTACAAATGTGATGGCATCCGAGATAAACCATTTATTAAAGTGTTTCAATTAAAAGTGTAAATCCCCCTCACAGTGCATCTGAACCAGATTTTAAGCCCTGGATATAAGAGCTACTGTATCAATGCGCACATTAATTTAATGTAATTGTATTTGTTGTTACAGATTGCCCGTCACCCACTGATGGGTTTGCCAGAATTGGTTGAACATTCCAGTCAGGTTAGTCGAATGTTATGTTGGTTCGGGATTCATAAAAATTTCTGTTTTACCTTAGAACACTAATCGTGATGCTTGGTTAAGATGGAAATGAATGGATTGAATTAAAATGGGTCTGGGAAATATTAATATAGATTGATTTCAGTTGACAGAGATTACAAGCACTGAAAGAATATTGTGTTGGTAGTATACATTTGTTAATTTAGTTTAGTTTATTTTTCTTTAGTTGGATGGTTGTTTTGCTTGGTTGGCTGGCTGGCTTAGTCATGTTCTTTTATTAGTTCTTTAACATTAAACAGAATAAATAATTCTGCACTTCATGTGATAGAAAGCTTGTATTATATTTCTTCAGAAAACAAAGAAATTTAATAGCCAGTTCATTAAAGAAACAAAAATGCTTTTTCATTGATTCAGGTTTGGTGACATTAAGAATGATGGCCGAAAAAGGGTGCCAACAGTTTAACCAATGGTAACCATATTGAGAGTCTGGAATTTGATGATTGCTGTCTTCTGGGTTGTTGCACCATGTAGCCTGGTAGAAGTTTACTGATGTTTCAGAGGTCCTTACTGCCTCTATCATCAGGGAAACAACCCAGAAGATAGCCATCTTCAGACTCACCATTGTGAAAATCTCTAGGCCATTTCAACTATAGGTGGATAGAATTATTACTGGAGATAAACTTTGAAATGTTGGTGCATTTTGTTGCAGGCATCAAACAAAACAACTGCTCTTCACCTCCGATGCTGCAGGACCCCTCCCCCTATCCTGGGATCTGGTATGGGGGAGGGGAGTCATCCAAGAAAGAGATCGCCCAGCATTCCTCGATCGGTAAGTACATTACTTTAATTTTAGTACTTTAACACCAGATGCACTTCTTAAATGCACTCTGACATTTGCATGCTTGTGTGTGTTACACAGTTTGAATGCCACCCAATTAAATATCTGGACTATGTAATTTGACTGAGGTTTTTCATTTCCTTAAATGCATCAGGTATTTGCCAAAACAGTGTTGGATTTCCTGTGTACTAGCCACATTAACAGTTTTATTATTTTTGATAATTTATATTAGTACGTTCACTATTATAAACAAGATACTCTGTTATATCTATTATTAACTCTGTAATTTTATTTCATGGTTTGTTTTTGCCAATCATGGAAACCATAAGCAAAGTGTGTATTTGAGATTTGATGCTTTCACGACAATGGGGGTGATGATTATGATCTTTGAGTTTTGGCACCACAGATTTGTAGTAGAGGCCAACATTTTGGAGAAACTAACTACTTTCATCTTCAGGGTTGAATAAATTGAATACTGACCTATATGACTGTACAGAATTGTCTGATGCATAAAATATTGTTGCCACAGCGCCCATCCAGTCCAGGCAGTAATTCAACCCGTCGGCCTCCAAGCCCAGGTGCATTAGATCCTGCTGTATTGGAAGCGGTGAAAAGCCGAGTGCGTAGGGTGCAGCAGGCCCGTCTCTACCTCCTTCAGCAGACGGGGCCCAACTCATTCCTGGTGGGAGGTGACTCTCCAGAGCACAAGTACCGTGTAGTCATTGGACCACAGGTTTGGACTATTCTTCATTTAATATTACTACAATATTATAAAATTGGTCCAAGTTACTGATCGTTTTCTGATTTGACCATGGATTCAGGATTGCACTGATTAATTTATGTATACCTCTAAAATGTGTAAATAGTTAATTTTGTCATGCCTGAATATGTGCATAATATTTGCGCGAGTTCAGGTTATCTACTGAGAGCTGGCATTTGTATTGTTAATGTTTGTAGATGAGCCTGTTCTGTCTACAAAACTGATCTCATGCATGCCTTATGATAATAACAAATTGTCAGTAGATAATGAGAATTTGGGTACATTTTAATTTTGGCGCCTACAATTAATAAAAGTGAGATGGTTCTTGTCCTTTAGAAATAAATTTTTTTTAAACTAATAGAATACTAAAAAGCATAAAATACATTTGCCATGATCATGTGTGTGAGTGAGTGTATTCAGTCTTGTAATTTTTAACTTACCTACTGTGAGATATTCAGATGTATGAAACTTCAGAGTTAATTTGTGTCACGTTGTACTCTTTGTATATATTTTTTGAATGTGATTCCATTTGGCATGTAAATATATTTGCAGACTTGTAGCTGTGGCCGTGGTCCACACTGTCTCCATCTGTTGTTTGTCATGCTCAGAGTTTTCCAAGTTCCCGAAAGTGATTCAAGAATATATGCTAAGGAACTGAAGAACTTTGAGGCAAGTGTACTTATTCTTTTTTTGTAATTTTATGGATGTATGAACAACTTTGAATTGATACATTATTATGTTATTTTCCTTATTCCATATGAATAAATATTGGAATCGTACAGTAAAATCGGTTATAAATACTTATTTTCTTTTTCCACTAATTCACATAGCATAACATGACATAACAGAACATGAAATAAGTTTCCAGCTGTGCATTATCTGATCAAGATACTGTCTGTATCAGTAGTAGAATCAAAATAATGAAACAAAAAAATTACGGTAGTCACTAAAACAATTCTTTTAAATTCTGTAATAGTATGTTAATATAATTTTAGTTTGATAGTGAGAGAAATCAATTGATCCCATTGTCTCTGTGTGATCTGTGTTATATACATTCACTCAGCATGGATTTTTGTGTGCCTTTTTCTTTTCTCTGTTATATTTTCCTGTGTAAAATATGACTTTTCATTCAGCTGACCCTTGTTCAAGAACTACCAAATGTCCTAAGGATTAGTTTTTATCTTGCTCACTTCAAAGACTAGGCCAGTAGCCTCATCTGGCTTCACAGTGCCCATCATCTTTTTGGTCATGCATGGTCTCTTTTGCCCCTTGTTTGTCATGAAAAACTTGTTTCTTAATACTAGCATCTTGCATTCTATACAGGTATTTTTTGTGTGATTGAAAATATTGGTAATTTATTCTTGGGATTAGTTGTTTAAGGATTGGAATAGGTTAGAGGGCTGTGTTGTGGTGTTTAATGAATTACTCATACTCGTTTGGTGCAGGTGGAGTCACTATTCCATAACTACCAAGAACGTCGAAACTTGAGGGTAAATGTGCCTCCAGATGATATGCGAAAAGATGTGCTGCAACCTCACTGTGGGTCTTCAAGAACTACACCGCAGTCTGAAAGTTCTAGTTTCTCTGTTACTGAATCTGTCCCTGCTTCGGATGTTAAGTAAGTTATTATGTGATATATAACATATTTTGAATTAAATGTGTGTCACATACACAGATACAGCCGAGGTAGCTCAGTCAGTATAGTGACTGGACGACCAGTGTTTGATCCCTGACTGAGGAAGAGGATTTTCCTCTAGCTTCTGCATCCAGGCCGTTTCTGGGACCCACTTATGTTATGTTTCCAATTACTGTTGTTGGAAGTTAACTTGAGAATTTTTTACAAATAAATTTAGTATAAGCTGTTTGAGGAACCCAGGAGTCAAGATGTGTTGATCTGCCTAAGCACGGGCAGTGCCGACTTCTAACAAGATTCGAGTTCTCCAGCATGGAGACGACCTAGACTCGAGTTCAGAGAGTAAATAAGAGTGGTCGGTTGCCTTGGTTTTTTTACAAGTTTGGTGATGCCGACTTTCAAGTAGTTTCTAAATAATGTTACAGAATAATAGTTTTGTAAACGTTGCTTCATCTTGATACTCTGCCACTGTGTATTGGAACTTTGGCTTGTTTACTACGTGTCCCGTCATTGGCTGACCAAGAGGGATGATTTGGAAATCAAATGGAAACATCCTGCTTTCCCCTAGTAAAGATAACTTATTTGTACCCTCTGAATAGCATTGGGATAGTACCGATCACAAAATCGTTACAATTGCAGCTTTCTTCCTATGGTAATAAAGATATAGGAGAATATACCCTTTTAATATGTATTTATATATTAATATAGTCTCTATAATTAAGCCATGTACAAAGTGAAGTTTAAATCTGTGCATTTATGGTCTGATTTAATGTTATAGACCAGCAGAAGAAGAGCTCTGCCCGATCTGTTTGTTAGAGATGGTTGATGGGGAAAGCTTAGTGGTTTGTATCACAGGCTGCCGTAATAAACTGCATCATCACTGCATGGCCATCTGTAAGTAAAAAGCTTTATCTCTATTAATTTTAATGCTTCATTAATAAGAAAGAAAATATAAATGCTATATAGTGAAGTTTGTATGTTTTGCGCATTTGAAGAAAGTTCTTGTTCCTCTCGTAAAGAAACAATTTAAGATATGGCCTTCCAGCGTTTTATATGATGGTTCCAGGTTTAATTGTTAGTCCAGTGGGTAGCTATCCTGCCATATTTGTGGTTTTCCTGCGCCCCTTTATGTCATTTTTGAATAGTCCTGTAATGTAATCGCTGATTAAACAATGTTGCCATTACTAGCAGCTTCCGTAACACAAGGCTGACTGTGCTGCTGCTGTAGCAAGGGGGGGGGGTCTTATTTATCAGTATGTGATCTGCAGTTTTCAGAGTTTTGTAAGCTTCTCAGGCTGTCTCTTCATGACAGTTTAAAGACTAGGTTATTTGAGAGGTGATTATGAGTCTACCTAGATAATGACCAGAATTTACTACATCTTGCTGCAGAGGTCAAAATTGATATTTCAGGGAAGGTTTAATGGTGTCTTACTATGTCTGTTAATTGTTTCTTAACCATATTGTTAAAATCAGAATATATGAGGATAAGGATTGAAGTAAAAGGATTGGAGACAGATTTTTCTATGTACAGGGGCAGAAGAATGCTATCAACAAAGTGAGAGAGTCCTTTGCCCTTTGTGTCGGCATTCATGGATCAATGAGGCTGACACAAACAAGTTTCGAACTCACAACGTGGAAGAACTGGGTTCTAAGCGGAGGGTTTCCACACACCATCACCAGTCCACTTTTCACAACTTGAACAATATGGATCCACCTCAAACGGTTCATAAAATCACTGGATTGACATCACAGCAACAGAAGAAATCACATCATAAGGCTCCAGAGAGCAAGCGATCTTGCACCCCCTCACCTGGATTAGACTCACCATTGCTGAGTTTTAGTTCTGGCTCTTCAGGATACAAGTCGTCATCTGATAGTGCCCAGGCTTTTCAAGGAGTCTTATCACATGCAGGGGTCATTCCATCAGAACAGTTACATGTTGCTAGCGAGTGGGTGAAGGTATGACTTATTTGTATTTTTAATATCTTAATTTCATTGATATTGCCATTTATCCATAACATCTGCTTTCCAAAATTAAGTTGGATTTGTGCTTTCCAAAACATTTTATGGGTTGTTATGAAAAACTTAAACATTTTATGTTGCATTTGAAAGTAAAATTTGCATGAAAATTGATGGATCTAAGTGAATTGATTGGAGGATATTGCATAACTATGGACTTTGTGACTAATACAGTATACCTAGTATTATTAGAGTAGTTAAATAAAAGATGTTACTGTCGGCTTGGGAGATAAGATTTAGGATGTAGAACCTCTTGGGAAGCCACCATCTTAAAAACAGGAGGAGGTGGGAGTGTATGTGTTAAAAATGTATTTTAGGGAAATTTGTTAGGATATGAACTGAATTGAATCAGAATCATTTCCATTGTCTGGTTTTAATACTAATAGTGTTTAAATTCTGAATTCTCTTTCCATTGAGTTTGTGTGATGAGGGCCATATGTTCCAGCGCAGCTTGTTCCCACATGTTATTCCCAGTTTAGTTGGTATAATTTATAATTTTGTTTCATTAGCTCTGCTCATCTTAGCTTTGTGTAACCTATGCCATGGTCTATAATTTTACCCTTTAGAGTATAGACATTTGGCTATCACTCGTAGGTTTGTGCATTTTCCAAATAAATATTTGCTAATCAGTGGAAATCTGGCATTTGGAGGTGTGAAATAATTGTGGCTTAATATGTAATTTGTTCCTACAGGTGTTTGGAGCAGACCTTGTGTCATGCCTGTACTCACGAGACTGGAAAGCCCGTGAAATGGCACTCAGAAGGCTAGTGAATGATATTGTCGCAAGTCATTACTCGGAAAGTGAGGAAGAGCAACAACAGGTGCTGTGGCACAGTATTAAAATCCTTACTATGGTGGCTGCAGACCCAGTCTTCAAAGTGTACCTTAGCTGCATTGTAAGTTTTAGATAGCTTGCTTTATTTTTGTGGAAATTGCCTTTTGCAAGTGACTGGTGCTAGATGAGATGAAAAGACTGGTTGAAAGTAAAAGATTATTAGTTTTCTGGCAGTCATTTGAATAGTCAGTTATTTTCGTAGCGATTCTATGTAAAATTATGCTGTAAGGTATTTTGTGAACAGTGTATCCATGGAAATATCCCGAATAGTGTTTTTATATGTGGACTATAATGCAGGTATGGCTTGGTTTTGAAAATAGGTCATTGGTGAAAAGTTTGATTTATAAAGTGATGCACCTCATAATTTTATTTGCATGATATGTAAATATATGATTAAGTTGAGAGATGTGGAATTTTTCAATTTCATCTGTTAGAAACTCCAGTAGTATCATGTGGCATGAAATCATAATTTCTCTCTTGATTGTGATGTCCATCTTCTATGTTAGAGCTTGTCGAAGTACACTTCATGCAGATTATTTTTCGTGGATGAACTGATTCTCATAATACATAACAATATCTCTGTTTGCAGCGTTGCTTTCGAGTGTTCCTGAGTTATGCTAGTTGTCACTCCAATCGTCAAGTAGAGGAGTTGCAGGAATTGATCCGTCCCATCATCAGAATCCTGCTACTCAAGTGTACCGATCAAAACCGTCGCACAGCGCACCTTAGCGTTGAGATTTTAGTGGAACTTGCGAAAGGGCAGAATGGAGAACTTTCTTTGGGCAAATCTGTTTCAGATAATTCAAATTGCAAAGGTTTGGAGGGGCTGGAGTTGGTCCTGGGATGTGTGTTGGAGGAGTGGAGTTTTGATACAGTCAGTTCACAGTGGCTGGCAGGACGTCTCATTATTTTGGATCGTCTTATTCAGGATTTTCCGAATGAGTTTTGGTTACAGTATGTGCCACTTTATCCCAATGAATCAGGCTACAAGCTGCATAACTATAACCGCCTTATCACAGTAGTGGAATTTTCGTTCAAGGCCCTCCGAAGTCCTAACAGCATGGTGGCCAAGTTGGCACGTCACGTGTTTGTTCTTTCATCCAGCATGACTGCCAAGGAACGTGGAGTGTTCAACCAAGTGCTAGAAATGCTTTCAAGTTTAGACCCTAATTTACAGACATGCTTACGAAAGCGCCTCCACCAAGCAGCATCTGAAAGTGGGACTCGGTCTCAGACAGCTTGGCAGGGTTCAAAGAAAGCTAAGGCAGCTCATTGTGTAGTGACAGAAAGATGCCATGGCCAACATGAATCTCAGCATGGAAGATCAACTCCACTACACACCTATAAAGATAATGCAGTAGTCAAGTCATTACTGTCCAGCAGTGTACTTGATGCTGCTTGTCAGACAGACTTGGAACCAGGGTCTGGCACATCACCACCCCGTCCAAGGGATTTGCCACTTGATAACTCAAATGTAAAGAACAAGAAACCAGTAAAATTTCAGCATGTCCCATGCATTTCCCCCATTCAAATCCCGTCGTCTAAGCGGTGGAGTGGTTCAGGCTCAAAGTTGCTAAGTCTCTTCACAAATAAGAAACATGATGAACTGCTTCCTACAAAGCCTGAACTGAATGGCATTTATCGAGATACCAGCAGTCCTGTTGGGCAAGTATGTGAAAATTGTTTGGTGGGAAATTGTCACAGGCATGTGAATCCACACCATTTTTTCTTTGGAAGCCTGTGTTCAAAAGTGATGACTCCAACCACACCCGAAGCCCCCCATACCACGCCCATCCTAGAGAACCACAAATGTACTGGCCAAGCAGAGGAGTTCCTGGATGACGTATCGGAAGAATTGGTTATTCCACTTGATCTGAGTAATCTCAAGAGTCAATTTGATAGTGAAATTCCTACCATCCCGGGTCTTAATTCACCATTGGTATTGGATGATTCAGCAAACCACCCTCACGACAAGGTACTTCCTACTTTTGTATTTCTTCAGTTTTACAAATGGTATGACTTGGATATCCACTAACTTACATCTATTATTTCAGAATATGGAGGGTGGAGTGAAGTGCAGTTCCTATTTGGAGGGCTTGAACTGGAAGCGTGGTCAGTTACTTGGGACGGGGGCATTCAGTTCTTGTTATCAGGCTCGAGATGTGGCCACTGGAACACTGATGGCTGTCAAACAGGTATTTGCACCACATGTCAAATAAAATGTGCATGAATAATAAGATGGCTGTCAACTGGTTGTAGCACTGTGTAATCTGGTAGAGTTATCCCAATGACTCGTCCTGATTATGGAGGCAGCAAGCAGCTCTAAAATGTTAGTAAACTTCTACCAGACCACTTGGTGCAACAACCAAGAAGACAGCCATCTTCAGACTCACCGCCATGAAACCCCCAAATCCTTCATAACTGATTTTTGTCTTTCAGGTGCCTTTTTGCAGAATTTCTGCAGATGAACAGGCCATAGTAGAGCTGGGAATACATGAAGAAATAGTGACAATGTCAAAATTGAGGCATGAAAACATAGTACGAATTCTAGGTGCCACAAAGCAAGGCAGCCACTTCAACATGTTTGTGGAGTGGATGGCAGGTGGTTCTGTTGCAGGCATGCTTGAGAGATATGGCCCATTCAATGAAGAGGTTATACTTCGTTACACTAAGCAGATTCTTGAAGGACTGTCCTACTTGCATGATAATCACATTCTGCACCGAGACCTTAAAGGTACAGTGAAATTGTTGTTTTAATCACTTATTAATTAAATTAAGATTTAGAAGTGTAGTAATTATTTTGATAAGAAACTAATGGTCCTTACCACCAACCTGACTTACGTCTGATATAAAGTACAGTGAAACCTCGATGCATCATTTTTGGCGGGGGTGGGAAATAAAAACAATGAATATGGGGAAACGATAGTTGCGGGAAAGCTACAAGGCTGTGGTGTTCCCAGATTGATAACTTGCTAAATTTTCTGGACGTCAGCAAATAATGTTTTTATTGCATGGTATGACAGTGTTCTTTTTTGGTTTAAAATTATACATGAAAATGATTGATAAGTGGCTATATTTTCTGAACATCAGCAAATAATTTTTTCATGACATGGTATGATAATGTTCTTGATTTGAAAACAGTTTGTGCTATATCTCATCTTACTTGGGA